ATGTTTCCTTTAATTTCACAGCATTGCAACAGTGTTTCAGTTGAAAGCTCGACTAAATGTAAATGAATAAAAAAACCGGCAATGCAGTAATATGAAATATGATTTGGAATCTCTAAGCAGAATGGAAACTTTCACCAGGTTATTTTTTTGGAAGAAAAAACACAAATTAATCAAAATTATGACAATACATGTATATCCTTGAAGTAGAGACTTTTTCCTTCAATTCAAATGATGGTAAAATAGATTTGTTGTAATTTTTTAGAAAAAAAATTGCACCTTTGAAAATCAAAAACATGTACCCTAAACAAGTTTTGTGCAATTTACAAAACTTGAAACCTCCCTAAAGCAAAATTTAGATAATAAAATTGACCAAAAAGAAAAAATTGAATAAAAATTTTTTTCAAGCATAAAAATTTTATTTTAAAAACCAGTTTACATCATTAAACATTCAAACTGACCAATGAAAAAACAGCTATTTCTCGACTGGTTCTCTATATCTTACAATAGTTAAATAAACTATAAAAATATGTTTTGGAACAGTCTAGATCCAGTCAAGAAATGATAATACTGTATTATTTTTATAATCGTTTATTGGATAGCCAAAATAGAAGGAATATTTTTAATTCCTTAAAAAAAAATAAAAAAAAATTTCTGCAAACACAAATGTATTTCATCTTGTTTAAAGACTTACACAAGATAAATCAGTTAATAATGCAAACAATTAAAATCATGTATTTATTATAAGTAATATTAGATAGGATTTTTTATTTTATTATCTCACTTCAGAAATACACAATCATGAGAATTTTCTTTATTATTTCTTTAAAAGTACACACTCATAATCTACATGGTTAAAATATTAAAAATGAACTAATCAAAAAAGAAGGACTCCTGTGACATCAATTATTTTTCAGAGTCTCTGTGAAAAGTCGGAGACACTTTCAACTATCAGCCATCTTGAATTCAAGAATCAAAGACAACCAAATAAATAGTGTTATCAAATACATGTATGTAAAAAGTAAAATGCATTTTACAAAGCCTGTTAAAGATTTTTATCAAGCTTATTTCAAAATTACATTTTAGAATATACTAATTCTAAATATTTGCATTATATACTGATTAACCGGTCTTTGCATTATCAACTTTGTCTACTACATTTGAGAAAAAATATTACATGTTACTATATAAAGACTCAACAACAAAATTTTTAGGGGAAAAAAAATAAAAATATCACAAGTTTACTATACGGCACACTTTTTTTTTTCTCAATAAAATGTTAACAATATGGTACTACCACTTCATTACACACAGTTTAGACATGACAGAGATTTACAAAGAGTAACTGAACATACGCCAATACAAAACAATTTCTTCTGCGTTACCATGGATACAGGAATAATTCCAAAAATGATTATTCAAATTTCATTTATTAATTTAAACAGGTTTCATATCTAGTCAGAGAATGATCTGTCTATCTTTTATTAGTTACCAGTGTACGAGGCTGTAAACTCGAATTCTATGACATTAAAATAATCATATAAGAAAAATTAAACAAATTTAATTTAATTATAGAATTTAAATACATTTTGAAGATAACAAAAATATTCCAAAGTAAAACTGTTGAACAGTCCACAATTTTTCTGGGGTATTTTCTTCTTGCCCATTGTTAAAACCTTTTTTGGAATGTCTGCAGAAAAATGTAGGCATGCTCTTCTTAAGGTATAATTAAACAAAAGCAAATTCAAGCTCATAATAATCTTTTATAAGATTGTAAGCAATTAAAGGGACTCCACTGAGGTTTTTTGACATGATGAGACTGAAAATATTTTTTCCAGATAATTGTACCATTTGATGTAGGATTAGACCACTAATCTTTGTGCAAAATTTCAGATCATTCACGCACACCGTTTTTCCAGAATAATTATTCGAATTGTAAAAAACTGGCCAAAACTGAAAAGCGTTTAAACGCTTTTCACTCAAATTAGGCTAAGAAAAGCATAAAAATACGATTTTCAATTTATTTCAAAGTATATTTCTTAACTATCTTTGCATATATTACTGTTTAAAGTGCCCCAGCTCATTTATGTAAGAAATTCAAAATTTATGTTTTTAGACTTTTAAACCTCAGTAGAGTCCCTTTAAATGTAATAAATTTAAACCAACTTGTTTTAGTTTTACAATACATTTAAGAATCGAATACATTTAAGAATCAGGTAAGACTTCCTTTTTAGAATTATTTAACAATTATTTTACATAGGCAGCGAGCTGTGTTAAAAACTTATTCTTTAAAGGAAAGAAGTGAAGTGGAGTCCGCATTATATTACCGGTATGTATATTATGAAGTGTATGCACAATAAAAGGGTGATAGAAGCAGTGTACAAAGGATAAAAGAAAACAATTGCCAACAATAACAAAAATTCCCTGACATTAAAACAATCAATAGGTACATTCAGTTGTACATTACAATCAACAACTTTCTCATATTAACATACACTTATACCTCTCGTCTACGATTTCCTCTAAACTGTAAAATTTAAATATGAAATGGATTTAAAAATGCAACAAGTGAGCTCATTGGCTATCCCATTATACCATTCCACCAATCAAATAAAACATACCTTGTGGGTAAAATGAAAGACAGCTATTCATTGGTCAATTATATAGCTGTTTTATCAAGCAGCCAATGAAATTTGAGTTAGCTTTAGTAATTGTCAGCTGTGCTAGGTTGGACCAATGAAATCCAGTTTTGCTAACAAGTGCTATTATTTAACAAGGAAATTAAATTTTTACTTATGAGTGCTATATAAATAAGGTATGTCAAAACAATTTGACAACAACAATTTTGTAACAAATTATTTCACTTTTATTTAAAAGTACAAACAATTTTGCATTTTTTTTTTCTAATCATTGCTTCAAGCCTTAAAATATTCAAGCATCAAACAAGACTCAAGGATGCTTACCTGCAGTTTCAATGTCAAATTAGTGCAATAATGATTAAGTATTATTAAATATAGAAGGACTTATTCCGTTATTGCACTAAGGCGACAACTGACAAGTAGTCAATTTTCAGAAATCTGTTCACAGTTACAAAACAAAATGTCTTTAAAACATTTTAAAGTCCCATATGATCCAAAACACGATAAAAGAATTTATTTCAAGGTAAAAATAATTTTAAAATATTCTCGTATTACGTTCATGAGTGGTTACATTTCATGCAAATATGTCGTCCTACATCAAATGAGCCTTTAATTAATAACAATTACTACATGAAATAGAATAATACTAAAAGGAGGAAAATCTTAGAAAGGTTTATATAAGGAGAGAAAAAAGAAAGAAGCCTGAAATAATCGCAAAAAAACTTTCACCAACGTTCTGTTCTCTATGATGTAACATTTCATGGGTGCAAGTTCAAAATTTCTTTTAGGACGTTTTCGGGAGTTTTCATATAGACATATAGGCAAAATTTAAACTGTTCAATAGAATGTCTTTAAACTTGGCATGTTGTTAGAATATGATAACAGAAACATTTTAAGCGAAAAAAAAAATTGAGGTCACCGTCCTGAAAACGTCTTTAAAACCTGACTTATCATTATTTTAATTGCTTTTATACACTAAAATTGCTCTCAGGTTTATAAAAAAATCTGAACTTCAGTCATATGCGTAAAAACTTGTACCCATGTAACATAACTGGTTAACCTGGATGAAAAACTAAATGTCACATCACCCCCGAGTGTAATATTGGGTTTAACTCCTATTGTATTACATAAGGAGTTAATATGTTACTGCACTAAGGTGACGAATATACCAAGGGATGGATTTACGAGCCTAAAATGATTTTATAATTGTATTCCAATGTTACGAACGATGCACAGCATATTTTTAGTAATACTTATGTAGGGAACCTTTACTGACCCACTTTTTGAGCATTATTTTAAACATAACATGGCACCCCTGAAGAGACTCGTATAAATATGACTTTATAAAGTAAGCCAATTCTGATAGCTCCCATATACAAAATGCAATGTCTTGGGAGACAGGTTTAACAGCTAGAAGAAAGGGCCTAGAGATTTTGAGTGAATAACCTTTAACAGGGTTTTCATTATTGACAGATTGGCGATCCTTATCATCAGTCAAAATGCTGTTAAAATCGCTTTTATTTTTAGACTCTTGCACCTGGCTAAATTGGTTGTTTTTAGTAAGCACATCTAATGAAAACCCTGCTTAACCAATAAATTTCCATCAAACTGCTTAGTAACATTAGCATTAATAGTTTTATAAAACTTTTCTTTTCGCAAAATATTTATGAAGAGCTTAACTCCCATTTGAACCACTCTAAGAGTTCATTTAGAACTGGCGTTATAAAGGAACCACGGCTGTGACTGAACCCCAGTAGGATGCTGACCCCTGTTCCCTTGGGTTACAATGCAGACATTTTTACCACCACTCCTCACGTAAAATTTTGAATTCATCATGAAAAAATTGAAAATGAAGTTACTATTTGTTTATAATCTGACTAAATATTGCAACTTCTACAAGATTAACTACACACTATGAAAATAATCCACAATTACAGTAAAGTTACGCATGACAAACCTAATACAAACGCATGATTGGCCATCTACTTTAAAATGCCCATACATAAAACATGAAAATAAAGTCTGTATTAAACTATTTTGAAGCCATAAATCTTACGACATTCTGCAATAAAATCACCATATAAAACAGTTAAAAACAAGATTATTTTTTCGCTCTTTTCTTCTCCTCTGTGAGTGCCGAACAAATGATTAATGATGACCACTGAGAATCGATATGATCATTTTTTTGACAATTTATCAAATGGGACAGCCAAACTACCAGTACATAAAATCATCTGATATTGTTATTTTCCTCTAATCCACACACATAACATATCTCTTAAAATAATACCCGCTACTAATGAGTGTGGAGCAAATATAACGATTTCCCTTAGATTAAAACAGTTTTTTCTTCTTCTGACATCGTCATTACAACCTTTAGAATTATGTAAGTTGTCTCCCTTTGATTAAAAAAAATTAAAAACAACAAAGAATAAAAAAAAACAAAAAACAACCAACCATTTCATTGGAAATGAGCTGTAAGCATTGAAAAAGCATGCTTTTCAACAATTTTAATGACGGCTTCGACTAAATCCTTTTACCCTCCAAATTAATGAAGAAAGAAAAAAAACAACGAATTATTCCTGCGCCATTTTTTCTCATGAATTTTCAAGGCCTTCTACACTAAACAGTTCCTTATGAAGGGCTGGAAATTCTACGTCCGGCTGACTCTGTTTGAATTTATTTAGCACAGTTATATGCTGCGTGTTTAAGTTCCGTACTATCCACGTAATTTGGTTCAGCTTTGTAATCATGTTATCGTCCTCGCGATTATTTTTTCCGAGCTCCATTTTCAATGCGGAGGAAATCTTCTCGTACAGTTTCTGAATGTCTGTAATATCCTTTAACCCTGGACGATCTGAAAATCAAAATTTTATTATTTGAGCCGCGTCATGACAAAACCAACATAATGGGTTTGCATCCGCGCAGTCTGATCAGGATCCATGCTGTTTGCTGTCAGTTTCTCTACTTGTTATAGGGTATGAAAGCGAACAGCATGGATCCTGATCAGACTGCGCGGATAAGCATGCTGGTCTGGATCCATGCTGGTCACAAACGCATTATGTTGGTTTTGTCATGACACGGCTCATTTAAAGATCATCCATGCGCAAAATATTTTAACCACAGAAATTTATTGAAGACGATCTGAAAATTAAAATTCAAAGATACATTATGCGTATCCATGAGCAAAATATTTTAATCACAGAATTTTATTGAAATTCTTACTTGAATTAAAGGCTAAATAAATTATGTATGGGAAGCTGCATACCCTATAAAAAGTCACAGAAAGTTTGTCTTTTCTTTAAAAAAAACAACTCACAGTTTTTAATGACACTATATATTCATATTGTGACCACCTTTATTGTGTAGAATTTTACACATAGATTATCCACTTTGTGTGAAGCAGTGTCTATTCTAGGAGGGGCGATGGGGGGATTCACCCATATTTTTGAGAATTCACCCCTATTTTTTGAGAGGGAGGGGGAAAATTTTACATAGACAAAGAAGGAAAAAGATCAACAAATGTAATAATCTCTCACTATTCGATAAAAATCCCCCCTATTTTTCGAATCCTAGAATAAACACTGGTGAAGTCAAAGCATGTTTATTTTTAACCAGGTTTTCCAAAGGGCGGGCGGACGGGCGTAATCAATTTCTTCTGTGCGCAACTCCTCCTACATTTTTCAACGGATTTTGACCAAACTTTCACAGAAGCTTTGTCATCAAGTGACCTGGCGCATATTGTCGGGGTTTTGTGATTGGATAATATTTGACCTAATTATGGCCCTTTGTTTTTTTTCCTTATATAGAATATATATAGTGAATAATTTCTTCTGTGCCCAACTGTTCCTACATTTCTAAATGGATTTTGACCAAACTTTCACAGAGGCTTTGTCATCAAGTGCCCTGGCGCACATTATCGGGGTTTTGTGATTGGATAATATTTGACCTAATTATGGCCCTTTGTTATTTTTCCTTATACAGAATATATAGTGAAAAAATTTTTGTGCTGAACTCCTACATTTCTCAACAGATTTTGTTCAGACTTTCACAGTAGCTTTGTCATCAAGTGCCCTGGCGCATATTGTCGGGGTTTTGTGATTGAATAATTTTTTATTTAGTTATGGCCCTTTGTTTTTTTTCCTTATACAGAATATAATTATAATAATTTTTTATTTAGTTATGGCCCTTTGTTTTTTTTCCTTATACAGAATATAATTATAGTGAACACTTCCTCTGTGGCAATTCCTCCTACATTATTCATGTTTTACATTGCACATAGTTACATTGTTTGTTGCCTTTATTTGTATTTCAAAAACAACATATTTATCTACAATGGTGATAATTGAAAACCTGGTTTCATGGCATTGCCATGTTTCTTGTATTCGTATTTACAAAGAGATTGTGGAGCAATTATCAAAAAAAATTTCTTATATCAAATTTGGGCAAACTGTATCTTAAAACTCTTAATTAATCTGCTTATTTTCTTAAAGGCCCATTATGCATCAAAAATACATTTATTTTTATTTATCAAAAGAGGGTTGTAAGGCACACCAACACTGTTAAAGTCAGATGGTATCTGTCAAGCTTTATTTGTGAAGGAAAAACTTCTGGTTAGCATGAGATGCCCCAATGCATTTTTTCTGACAGAAAGAACCACAAACATTCTACAAGACAGCTTGATAACTTTCTATCACAGAAAAAATATACTAATCGGTAATCCTCTGGCAAGATTCGAACTTTATTATTTTAGAGTGTATTTCATAAGTAAGTAAACATTCAATAAAATGGTGCTTTAAAACCCATAACCTTCTATATTTCTATAATGGATCTGTCCAGCTTTGATTTTGGACCAGTCCATTCAATGTTCAAGGATTTTCAATATGAAAATACACAAATTGAGTTGCCAACAATATAGAGTCTGGTCAGACTGCACGGCTGTGAAGGTTGGCCTGGCTCTATACTGGTGGCAAAGGCTGATCACTTGGTTCCAGCAGATTAAGGGTTAATTAATAAAGCCATATAAAACCATCTTACCTGGCCTAACTAATAGTGTTGCACTAAACAAGGCTAATTCTGCCTCTGTAAGGTTTATGGCCTGAATTGTTTTCACCAAATCAAATATTTGGTTCTGTAAAAGTCTTTCTTCTTCATCTAAAGAAATAGTAAAATCAAAAGATTAATTTGGGATATTGAATATTATAAGTTCTATTTATAACATAAGTTTGCACTAGACAACTGATATAATCTATATTTGATTACACTATCTCATTCCAACTTGTTATCGTCAAGAAACCATGATGTGGACCGACCAACGGACGGACGGACCAACAGACAATCTGACTCCTATATGCCCCCCTAAACTTCTGTTTGTGGGGGTTGAATATTATGGTAAACCCTATTCTGATCTTTGATATACCAGTCAATTGTAACCTACCACCTACCTCCAGGAAAAAGTGGAGACATTGACTTGTGAAATATCAGTCCCCCCTCCCACCTCAATGTAATGACTTGTTGGGACAGTCAGATTTCTAATTTCTTTTAAATGCCACCGCGCCCCCCACCCCACTACCAGTACACGGACATGTGTTTTGGGTTGACATGGTAACAATTGACAGTTGTAGAATGTTAAAAAAAATACTCACTAAATGCTGTAAAAGCTTGTAAAGGAACAAACTGGTCACCAAATACAACACTATCTGTGGCTGCATCATACACCTGTGTACACCGTAACAGCGCTAGTTCAAAACTACCTGTAAACATAAAATGCACCAGTTTAGTGGCATTAACTCAAAATTTTATAACTAAAGAAATTATATGTATATGGAAGTTGGATCAGAGAAAGTTAATCATCAAATTACATAAATAATCAAATATATTTAATTTCTATCAGATCAGGGGCAATAACTCCTGAAATCAAATAAATAACCAAAGCCATTTTTCGATTATTTAACGGGCAATAAGTCATGAAATTCTATAAATAACCAAATATATTTAATCTCTATCAGTTTATGGGCAATAACTCTCTAAATAAGCAAATATATTCAATTATCTACCACATCAAGGGCACTAACTCCTCAAATTTAATAAACAAACAATTCATATTGAGGTAAAATAGTTCCGACCTGATTTATAAGTAGATTCAAAATGCACAGTCTGTATATTTTATTATTATTTATTATTTATAAATAAGATAAAATATTTCTCAGAGTTTTAGATATTGACAGACAGACTAAAATAATTAAAAGGGAAACAAAAATCTCATTCGAGTCACTTCTTTATTTCATTTCAGGGTGGTTACCTGCTTTTAGTAGCATTATTTGGTCGTCCTGAGATAAATCCATAAAACCGGGAACCATTTTGGCAAATTCTATAATCTGCTGCACAGCTAATGTAAGTTTTTCCGCCACTTCGGTCCATAATACTCGATGTGTCTGAATAAGGAAGTAAATAATCTATTTATTACAGTAATATTCCAATAACAAGAGGGCCATGATGGCCCTGAGGTCGCTCACCTGATATATAGCCCCCCTCCCGGGCCAATTTTTACCCAAGGGCTTTTATTTGAACAGACTTGGTAGACACCCATAAGAAGATGTTTCATGCTGAACATCTAAGTTCTAGCTCATTGGGTTTTTTAAAAGAAGATTTTTAAGTTTTTACTATACACATATAGTTAAAAACAATGACACCCCTGGGGCAGGGCCAGTTTTGACCCCCCAGCTTTAATTTGAACAAACTTTGTAGATATTTACTTAAAGATGTTTCATGTATAATATCTAAACTCAAGCTATTTGGGTTTTTTCAAACAAGATTTTTAAGTTTTTGCTATACACATATAAGGAAAATCAATGACCCCCGGGGCAGGGCCAGTTTTGACCCCAGGGCTTTTATTTGAACATACTTGGTAGACACTCATTAGAACATGTTTGATGCTAAATATCTTAGCTCTAGCTCTTTGAGTTCTTTAAAAGAAGATTTTTTAAGTTTTTACTATATGCATATAGGGAAAATCTATGACCCCCTGGGACGGGGCCAACTTTGACCCCAGGGCTTCTATTTGAACAAACTTGGTAGACATTCACTAGAAGATGTTTCATGCCAAATATCTAAGCTCTAGCTCTTACGGTTCTTTAAAAGAAGATTTTTAAGTTTTTACTATATGCATATAGGGAAAATCAATGACCCCCCGGGGCTGGGCAAATTTGACCCCAGGGCTTTTATTTGAACAAACTTGGTAGACACTCACAGGAAGATATTTCATGTCAAATATCTTAGCTCTAGCTCTTTGGGTTCTTTAAAAGAAGATTTTTTAAGGTTTTTACTATATGCATATAGGGAAAATCTATGACCTCCTGGGGCAGGGCCAATTTTGACCTCAGGGCTTTTATTTGAACAAACTTGGTAGACACTCATTAGAAGATGTTTCATGCTAAATATCTTAGCTCTAGCTCTTTCGGTTCTTTAAAAGAAGATTTTTTTAAGTTTTTACTATATGCATATCGGGAAAATCAATGACCCCCTGGGGCGGGCCCAATTTTGACCCCAGGGCTTTTATTTGAACAAACTTGGTAGACATTCACTAGAAGATGTTTCATGCCAATTTATCTAAGCTCTAGCTTTTACAGTTCTTTAAAAGAAGATTTTTAAGTTTTTATTATATGCATATAGTGAAAATCAATGACCCCCCGGGCCGGGGCCAATTTTGACCCCAGGGCTTTTATTTGAACAACCTTGGTAGACACTCACTAGAAGATGTTTCATGCCAAATATCTTAGCTCTAGCACTTTGGGTTCTTTAAAAGAAGATTTTTTAAGTTTTTACTATATGCATATAGGGAAAATCAATGACCCCATGGGGCGGGGCCAATTTTGACCCTAGGGCTTTTATTTTAACAAACTTGGTAGACACTCATTAGAAGATGTTTCATGCCAAATATCTAAGCTCTAGCTCTTTCGGTTCTTTAAAAGAAGATATTTAAAGATTTTTCTTTCGGTTGCCATGGCAACCAGAGTTCTGCATGAAATGGAATTCTTTGAACAATCTTGATAGAGCTTCATACAAAGAGTATTCCTGCCAAGTTTCATTAACATTGGCCGTGCGGTATCATAGAAGATGTCCTTAGAATATTTAAAATGTGGACGGACGACTGACGACGGACGCCATTTGGTTGGCCATCCTAAAAGCTCACCTGCACTTTGTGCAAGGTGAGCTAAAAATAATTGATAGATTTGTGCCATATAAAATATACTTCAGACCACTTTCTCCTCAACCCTGTGGGTATGAATCATGCCAGGGACTTTCAATGCTTTAATGTGAGAAAACTTATCCCCCTAGCTTTACAGAATGTTTTCTGGTTCTACCCAGGAGCTTGTTAATTTGTGCTTTAACTAATGCACCAGGGAGCACTTGTTATTTTCCTCAACAAGTAAAGTCGTAAGTCGTCATGAGACAGCATTTGTGCTATATAAAACCAAACAAAACAAACAAACAAATGGAAATTTTATGTGTGAAGTCAATGATTATGACTAATAGGTAGATTTGCAATTAAATTTCCTGGATTGATGATAAACTAGTTGTTCATTTTGAATTCTTTTTTTTTTTCCCTTCATTGAATGAAGTGACCAGCCGCAAATTTTTCACAGGTCAGCCAAACTTGCAACTTTGAAAGATTTAACAGGCCTGACCTAAAGTCTACTAGTAAGCCATGGGATCACTTGCTACTGACATTCACTGACTATTATCTATACTTACCATATTTTGATAATTTGTTATAGTTTCTGTTGTTATCGTATTGGATTTTAGCTGAGCTATAGTATCTGCAGTGTATAAACATGTACGTTGATGAGCTTCATGAATTGCCTTTCCAAACGCCACTGAAATAACAAACAAAATGCCACTGAAATAACAAACAAAGACTTATAGCATTAAAATAACAAACATAGAGTTATAACACTGTCTTTTCAAATGCCACTGAAATACAAACAAAGACTTATAGCATTGCCTTTCCAAATGCCACTGAAATACAAACAAAGACTTATAGCACTGTCTTTCCAAACGCCACTGAAATAACAAACAAAGACTTATAGCACTGTCTTTCCAAACGCCACTGAAATACAAACAAAGACTTATAGCACTGTCTTTCCAAACGCCACTGAAATACAAACAAAGACTTATAGCACTGTCTTTCCAAATGCCACTGAAATAACAAACAAAGACTTATAGCTTTCACATAGTGGTATTGGTAGTTTTCACTCCAAAACACAGCAGTAAGCTGCATTGAATTTACCGGAGCACAGTTCAGCCATTGGTTCATTCCTGGGCAGGCTGTCAAGCTGTTTACCAGTACTAGTGGCTTTCACTTTCGCAAGGAACTGAAACTTCTATACACGCAAGAGCAGAGGTACAGTGTGAAGACCATAGAAAAGATTTCATGATCAATTGCAACAAATGTGACTTACGCTGTCCGGGAATTGAACCCAGGTTGCGAGATTCACAGTCCAACGCTCTACCTTTCCAGCTAACCAAATGGCTATAGCTTGCACAAAACATGTAAACTATTACTTGAATCTTAAATCTTTTTACTATTTTAAAATCTTTGTACTTTTTTCTCACCCCTAGTTTTTAAAAAAAAAAAAAATATTCTGGCTCATCTAGAGGCATGCAGCTTTAAATGACACCAGACACAACCCTCTGCTAACCAATATCTTTTGCAGTGATCTACCCTTATCATTTATTTCCTTTGCAGTGATCTCCCCTTATCAGTAAAGGGAGGTAATCACTGTGAGGAGTTTGTCAGCTTACCTGTGTCTAGTAGATCAACCGTCCGAACTACGGTGACTGACTGAGGTGTGGTCGGTGATGCAGTTGGGCTGTAGACTCCACCACTGCTCCCTGTAGGACTGAGAGATGAATCACCGTAACCATGGTAACCGTTTGGTGACTGGTACATGTAATTATCACTTCCTGAATATCTATAAATAAAAATTATTTAACCTTCACCTTGAACTAAAACAATTACATTTTTATATTTTGTTATAACCACTTCCTGCTAATATTATTGTTCTTACTAGTATTGAAGAAAAAAAACAAGAATGTTACAAACATTTAACACAATTATACTTGTCACATGTATATTACACTAGTGCTTAAACATAAACACAAATTCAGACATGACACAGAGTGATTTACAAAAGTGTAATTTTTTAATCTTTTGTTTTTAAAAAAAATATAAACTTATATGTTACATGTGTGTAGATTCACATTCTCTTAAAATGTTTTTTTTTTATCATTTTTTTTTTATTACAGTACTTGGTTTTATGTCCCACAAAGGTCATATGGTGACTTTGCATTATTTGAATTTATTTCAGGAACAATCCAGCACCTGAGTAGAGTGTTCCATAAGCTAGCTGAATAGCTTCCTCACATGAGCCAAAGTCCCTGTCAGGATTCAAACCTACAGCAGTGAAGGGCCAAGTGGTTTGAAATCAATGACTTAAACCACCTCGGCAGAGACACTCTAAATTTGTTCACATATCAAAGGTTAAAAAAACATGATGTACATTAACAAATATTTAGTTGTAATATACCAAAATAATTTCATCCCTCAAAATCTAAACTAACCAAACCGAGAACTGCGGATTCATACTTTATTATCACTTCATTCTAAACAAGATCATCTGCCAAGGTGCAGTATGGTTCAGCCTTTAAGAAGCTACACACTGATCTGTATAATTCTATCTTAATTTAGCAATTTTTTTTGTATCCAGTTTTTGCTCTATCTCACTTTTACATTTTATTTGACATTTTTATTAAAATTACTGAAACCTGACCCACTTTGTTTTGAGCGTTTCACTTCCCTTATTCTTTTTATTATTTTATTTGACAGTAAGATTTTAAAAGACATGATAACATACTGTGATACATATAAAGACAAACTTTGTATTACAAAGACAAGGGTGAAAAAATTAACACCTAATATTAAGAAAATTAAATACAACAATCAAACAGTGGTAAAGAAACAGTAGAGAAACATCTGTAAATGGTTTTTAAAAAACATTATGGAGTTCAAGCAAAACTGTGAACTGTTTCAGAATATTTATTACAATACTGTTTGGTTTTTATTTTGTTTTCTTTTTGCTATATGTTTGTTTGTTCAGTTTTGTGCTACACTCAAAGGGGTGGAAAAATCATGTGTTTGCAGTGTCTATTCTAGGAGGAGCGATGGGGGGATTCACCCATATCTTTGAGAATTCACCCCTATTTTTTTTAGAGGAAGGGGGGAAATTTTACATAGACAAAGAATGAAAAATCATTTTTCTGTATTGCCCAGGTTATACTGTAGCAAGTAAGTACAGATAAGTAAAATTTTTCCAAAATGTGCCTGTACTTATCATACGGACAAGTCAATAAATGCATCAGATAAATTTGATCAAATCAAAAACCAGATTTTGTCAGCCTTCATACAGACTCTCACAATCGTCATATCACCATTGTGTCATAACAGGTTGACTTCTTTTAATTTTAATTTAACAGAAGTTAACATGCTACTGCACTAAGGTGATGATATGCATTCAACAACTTTTCTACTTTACTTTATGTACATTATTTCAGGACACCAACCAGTAACAGGATACAGTCACCAATCATCTTTACGCTAGATAGACAGTTTCCTTTGATCCTTAAAGAGATCTGAGCCCAATAGCACATCTGATGCAATGCTTATTCTTCGACCTTGTTGTGTTGGAAAGGACAAGACACTCCCAAAGAGGCTGGTAGCATCATTTTATCTAAACTTTAATTGAGATACATGTTTTGACTTGAACTCCAAATGAATTTTAAAAGTCCATCTACTACAAGGACTAACAACAAGCAAAAATTGCTTAAAAGCTGTAAAAGCACACACACATATATATATACGTGGGGAAACATGCAGGCATGGGGAACAAAAAGTAGAAAATCACCATCACCAAGTGAAGATATAACATCAAAAAAATAAACATCAAAATAAACATTTAGCAAAAACAAAAATATATAACAATACACCAGGAATGTAATATACTGTTCAGGGGCAATAACTCCTGAAATTTGATAAAATAAATCACATAAATGACAACTTCTCTACAAGTTAATTTTGATTTGTTTGTTTTTTTGACCAAGAAGGGTGTTATTATTCTCACAGAAAGGACCTTCAGAAAGTTTCACAAAAGTAAAACCTCTGAAAAATTACATTCCTTATGTAAACAAGGCATGCATTTAATATAAACAAGTGATATTCTGGGTGTTAAATACTACTAAGAAAGAGGAAAAAAGTGCTAAATTAAATATTTCTGACTCCTGGCTTTGACCCTGTAAGGTCAAAGCACCTTTCAAACTGTACTTGGTAAAGCAACGACCCTGGTAAATCCACCAGTCTATATTTCGGCCAGGTGCAAACAACTGAGTAGAACCACCTACCTTGTTGTAATTTATGCTTCGTTGCATGGTAGGATAGCTCAAACACTCCAGGAGGCTTTCAACACATAGTGCAGGGGGGCGATTTTTGCTTCCGTGACAGCAGTTGGTCTCAAATTGTTCAACTCTGAACTGTTCTACAGTGCCTATTACTATAAGCAATAACTAAATTCAAGTATTAAAGTCACATTTACACAAAGTTTGAGTGTATCATTAGCCTTTAGGTATAAATAATACTAAATGTCTGTCTTATGATATCCATTTAGTTATAAAAGCACTAAATTTTCATTGCTTTAAAACCCCTTTAAGTAAAATGTGCCTAAATCGTATATTTTAGCCCCCTTTTTTTGGAATATTTTTTTTCTTCTCTTTAATGCTTGTTTACCAAGTACAATTCACAAATGTATTGTTTCTCTATTTTGTTAAATTTTTACTTCTTGTGAACAGAGCAACAGATAAGGTGCGTATTTGCGTATTTACGCAATTAATTTCATAAAATACGCAATTGATTTTTTAAGAATGCGTATCAAAACCCATTAAAAAAAATAAAATACGCAATTGTCTTAAAAACCTGTGCGTATTGTCATTTTCATCACCGTAAAATTAATCTGTCGTATGCACGTAGTTTTGGACAAATAATAGCGATATGCATGCTATCCGAATATTCCCGAATCAATGCTAACTAATAAACGGTCTCCGGTCTTCGACGGTCCCCGGTCTCCAAAGACCGACTAAGTCAAATCAATAAAGCATGACACCGTCGTTTGTCTACTCAGGTCGACGGTCTTTACAGACCGGCAGAGACCGTTAATTTTGTGGAGACCGTCAATAAGTAGGTCCCACCTGTATTAATAGACGCTTTGAAAGCAATATGGCGTCGTACAAAAGGGAAAATGATTTGAAACAAAACAATCGTAAATAATCAAAAATCAGTCAGAAAACGAACTTGTTAAAAAAAAATTTATGAAATATAACTTGAGCATTTTATATAAAAAATAAAACAATTGTGAAAAGTTCTAGTAAATTGTTAATCCTATTTTCTTTTTAAAACAGTAAAATTTCATTTATATTGAAACCATAAAATTTTCATAATTGAATACCCAATTGATCTTGAAATCATAGGGTATCGAGTTTTGGAATACCCAATTAAATGGAGCCAATACCCAATTCCAAAAGAAATGATGGAGTAATACCCAATTCACTTTTAAAGCTTATCTGTTGCTCTGTGTGAATGTATGTTCAAATTTTTAATATTTTTTTAAATATTTTTTGTACCTATAAACCTTCATGGGTAAGAAGGTGTAATTTCAAAACTTAAGTTGCTCTTTTCCTAGTTTCCTTTTTTTTGGAATAGGTAGAGAGCCACCAAATTGAGCATTAATTTCAAATTATTAAACTGTGAAAAATTAGAAGTTAATAAAGAAGAAAAAAAATTGACCACCTTAAAAAGGGACAGAAATAGACATTTTGCAATTATGAATGGGTCAGTTATGAGTTTACTTAAAACTTCTAATGGACACTCAGAGTCTGAAAACACTAAACCAGTATCTTTTTTCAAGGGTCAGTAAGTGTGACCCACTTAGGAAAAAACACTTTCTAATGTACAACAATTATACATGGACTGGTTAAGTTGTTCATATAGAAATGCTGCTGACATGTATACACTTGATAGCACTAAAACAACCTCAATTAACACTTAAAATGTACAAGCAAAATGACCTTTAGTGAACATTATTTTTCAACACTTTTTCCTGGTGTTAATTAACATTTAAGTACACATGTCGAAATATTAAGAAAATTCAATAATTTCAAACTTTGATTTACCACAAGACTTTTGAATTCTTGTAAATTACTAGCTTAACCAAACATTCCACCATTTGGTTGTGTTTTTTTTTTCTTTTAATTTGACAAAAAAAAAATTAAAGAGGAAGGGTTAGGGGATGGGAAGCTGAAGGTGGTGGAAGAGGTGGAGAGGGGGAATCTCTTTACTTATAAACAACCTAAAGGGGGAAGGGGGGATTTTGATATAAAAAATAACCTTGGGATGGGGCATCTCTTTAATAATAACAACCTAAAGGGGGAGGGGAGATTTTGATATAAAAAATAACCTATCTATAGTAATTCAAAGTTTTTGAGTCTATAATTCCTCAACTCCAGAATCATTCCAAAATCTTTCACCTTTGATTTTCTTTCTTTAAGATTTTTTTGGGTTTCATTCTTATTGTTACTTTTCCACCTAAAATTAACTAAAAGAAATTTTTAAGCCACTTGGAACTTGTTTCAGTTAACTCTGAACATTTCACAGTAAATCTTTATGTTGTCCCCATTAAGTGTGACTTTAATACTTGATAAAAGAATACCTGCACGAAATATATTGTCCAAATGGTAATTAAGGCTTGTTAATGCCAACAATGATGAATTTGTTTTAAGAAATTCTTTTGGTTTGAATTCATAAATGTATACAGTAAAATAGTGAGAAAGTGAATATGAGCCAAAAAAAGTTACTGTATCACTAAGTTTAACAGTGACAAAGAAATATTAACCAATTTTGCAAATTGATAAAAAACGCTAAAATTTTCTCCAGCGTAAATATCAACCAACTTGTCATTAAAATCTACCCTTGCACGATTCTCTATTTTCTCAAGCAAAATGTCTGGAATTTTAAATTTGCTAATTTTTCAACACACGGAAATATCAACTTATATACAGTATTTGGTCAGACTGCACAAAATTTGTACCTGCTGACCACGCTTATATTGGCAGCATATATAATGCATAATCGCCGCTAAAAATCAAAGTTTTAAATTGCTCTCATTTCTTTTCTGCAAAACTCGATAATTAAATTTGTCTCATGAAACAATTTCTTTACTTTAAACATTAAACCTCAAAATGAAACCTTATTACTGCTCAAATAACGACACAAAAAAATAGTCCCCCCAAAAAATTTGGCATCATACAGGTATTCTTTTAGATTTGTGTTGTTGTTGTTGCTAAAAGCTTACGTGAAATAAGAGTTGTTATTAGGTGAATGCACACCAATATCCGCATCAGCATACCCGTTAACTCCTGGAGACACGCCTTGCTTGATCAACTGAGCTTCTCCCTCAACCTTCTCACGCTGCTTCTTTGACATCCTTCCAAACTTCACCGCTGAAAATTTATATATTTATAATTTTTCACATTAACAACAGCACATTCAAACATAGCGTAAAAATATACTTATGTTAACATAATAATAGAGGCGTACCATTGAAAAATGGATATTTTAACTGTTAACCCTTTATACTTTGGAATCCGATAAATAGTTTATCATATTTGTGTCAAGAACCATGGTTGTGGCTCGAACCCATAATAACCTTGGTTAAGAGGCAGACATCTTTAAGACTATGCCACCACTCCCCTAAAGAAAATTTGTCCCCCCCCCCTCACTCCAAAAAAATATTTACTATTATTTATGGTACTTTCAGTGTGACTCTTTTTAAACGCTTATTTTTTTTTCTGCTTCATCTCTTGGTCTAACCAATGTAACCAATGAAGAGTTAACCCTCATATAAATGTGGTTTATACAAGGAAATTGTGTATTAATATTGGATACGTCTCATGTTTCATACTATCTATCTTACCATATGAAGACAACAAAAAATCTCATTTCAAGAGATATAATCTTTGTTGAAACACATATAACGTGTCATATTTCATATAAGGAAAATGTGCAGCAGTACATCATATTATTAAGTACAAGATAGTATGTCGTTTCATAATAATTGAGCCGCGTCACGACAAAACCAACATAGTGGGTTTGCGACCAGCATGGATCCAGAACAGCCTGTGCATCCGCGAGGTCTGATCAGAATCCATGCTGTTCGCTGTCAGTTTCTCCACTTGTAATAGAGTTGATAAGCGAACAGCATGGATCCTGCTCAGACTGTGCGGATGCGCAGACTGGCCTTGATCCATGCTGGTCGCAAACCCATTATGTTGGTTTTGTCATGACACGGCTCATATATATTTCTATATTACATACTTGAAACCAAGCTTACATTTCTTGTAACAAATATGTCAGCATTTCTTGGGCCTTTAAAGCTGCAGGCCTCTAGATGAGGAGCCAAAATTTTTTCAAGAAAATCAATTTTGTGAAAAATGTAATAAGATTTTAAGAAAAGTAAAAATATTCACAATTCAAGTAATGATTTGCATGCTATATGCAATAATTGACTAATTTTATCAGTTTTAATCACCATATTTCTACTTTTTTACTGTAGTGGGTAAGGGCTATTTTTCAATATTTTGACCTTGAAGCTTTACATGCATATGATATTTAATATACTGTAAGTACATTTTCAAAGTTTTCATGATGAAAATATGCATTAATTTGTAGGCATGCTGCTTTAAAGATCCTGTATGCTGTAATTAAGAATGTAACAACACTTAAGTGAAAGTTTATATAATTATGTATATAATTATTCTTCTAAAACAATTTCCAAACATCCAAGCATATGTTAAATATGTACTGCAAATGTTTATTTGCATTATATGTAATCATTAAAATCTATGCATTCATTTCTTATTGAAAAATTTGACTTAGACGCTATCAAAAATAGATTTCTAATTACCTCCCTTAGGGAAATATAAATTCAGTGATATCTTTACAAATAATGCTTTTTTGAAACTTACAATATTCAAAGAATCTTCATTTGAGCATCAGATTAATGATATAAAATCATAACAAGAGGGCCATGATGGCCCTGAGGTCGCTCACCTGTATATAGGCCCCCCCCCCAATTTTAACCAAAGGGCTTTTATTTGTTTATTTGAACAGACTTGGTAGACACCCATAAGAAGATGTTTCATGCTAAACATCTAAGTTCTAGCTCATTGGGTTTTTTAAAAGAAGATTTTTAAAGTTTTTACTATACACATATAGTTAAAAACAATGACACCCCTGGGGCAGGGCCAGTTTTGACCCCCAGGCCTTTATTTGAACAAACTTTGTAGATATTTACTGAAAGATGTTTCATGCTTAATATCTAAACTCTAGCTATTTGGGTTTTTTCAAAGAAGATTTTTAAGTTTTTGCTATACACAGATAAGGAAAATCAATGACCCCCCCCCCCCCGGGCGGGGCCAATTTTGACCCTAGGGCTTTTATTTGAACATACTTGGTAGACATCCATTAGAACATGTTTCATGCTAAATATCTTAGCTCTAGCTTATTGAGTTCTTTAAAAGAAGATTTTTAAAGTTTTTACTATACACATATAGTTAAAAACAATGACACCCCTGGGGCAGGGCCAGTTTTGACCCCCAGGCCTTTATTTGAACAAACTTTGTAGATATTTACTGAAAGATGTTTCATGCTTAATATCTAAACTCTAGCTATTTGGGTTTTTTCAAAGAAGATTTTTAAGTTTTTGCTATACACAGATAAGGAGAATCAATGACCCCCCCCCCCCCCGGGCGGGGCCAATTTTGACCCTAGGGCTTTTATTTGAACATACTTGGTAGACACCCATTAGAACATGTTTCATGCTAAATATCTTAGCTCTAGCTTATTGAGTTCTTTAAAAGAAGATTTTTTAAGTTTTTACTACATGCATATAGGGAAATGACCCCCTGGGGCGGGGCCAATTTTGACCCCAGGGCTTTTATTTGAACAAACTTGGTAGACACTCATTAGAAGATGATTCATGCTAAATATCTTAGCTCTAGCTTTTTGGGTTCTTTAAAAGAAGATTTTCAAGTTTTTACTATATGCATATAGGAAAAATCTATGACCCCCTGGGGCCGGGTCAATTTTGACCCCAGGGCTTTTATTTGAACAAACTTGGTAGACATTCACTAGAAGATCTTTCATGCCAACATTCACTAGAAGATCTTTCATGCCAAATATCTAAGCTCTAGCTCTTATGGTTCTTTAAAAGAAGATTTTTTAAGTTTTTACTATATGCATATAGGGAAAATCAATGACCCCCTGGGGCGGGGCCAATTTTGACCCCAGGGCTTTTATTTGAACAAACTTGGTAGACATTCACTAGAAGATGTTTCATGCTTAATATCTAAGCTCTAGCTCTTACAGTTCTTTAAAATAAGATTTTTTAAGTTTTTACTATATGCATATAGGGAAAATCAATGACCCCCCGGGGCGGGGCCAATTTTCACCCCAGGGCTTTTATTTGAACAAACTTGGTAGACACTCACTAGAAGATGTTTCATGCCAAATATCTTAGCTCTAGCTCTTTGGGTTCTTTAAAAGAAGATTTTTTAAGTTTTTACTATATGCATATAGGGAAAATCAATGACCCCCTGGGGCGGGGCCAATTTTGACACCAGGGCTTTTATTTGAACAAACTTGGTAGACACTCACTAGAATATGTTTCATGCCAAATATCTAAGCTCTAGCTCTTAGGGTTGTTTAAAAGAAGATATTTAAAGATTTTTCTTTTGGTTGCCATGGCAACCAGAGTTCTGCATGGAATTAAATTCTTTGAACATTTTTTAAAGGTGACCACCAAAGGAACATTCCTGTGAAGTTTGGATGAAATTGGCTCAGTGGTTTATGAGGAGATGTCATTTAAAGCAAAAGTTTACGGACGACGGCCGGACGGCCGGACGGATGCCGGACGAAAAGCGATCACAAAAGCTCACCCTGTCACTTTGTGACAGGTGAGCTAAAAATGAGCATCCGCTCAGTCTGATCAGGATCCATTCTGTTCGCTTATCAACCCTATTATAAGTAGAGAAACTGATAGCAAACAGCATGGATCCTGATCAGACTGCATGGATGCGCAGGCTGTTATGGATCTATGCTGGTCGCAAACGCACTATGTTGGTTTTGTCGTGACGTGGCTCATATCACTAATAACTAATCATTATCATCATACCGTCCCTTGACATTCCAAGAGCTATGCATTTCTGAAGTCTACAGTATTGGCAGCGATTTCTGTTCACACGATCAATGACACACTGTTTATTCCTGGGACATTGGTAGTTGACTGGCCCTGACTGACTTCTTCTGAAGAACCCTTTGCAGCCCTCGCATGTAATCACCCCATAGTGAACCCCTGATGACTTGTCTCCACATATTTTGCATGGTATCACTTCAATCTGGGCTGAAATTAGGAATTACCTTTAAGTTTTTCTTATTGTATTAATTCAATTTTAACAGGTGAGGCAGAAGTGGCAGAATATTTTTAAGGTAACCATTGAATAAGACAACCTATGTCGGCATGGCCGAGTGGTTATATTAACATGTCGGACTAGTAATATAATGATGATCGCTTGCAGCATGGGTTCAAAACCTGTCAGGGGCAAGTCGTTGTTTCCTTGAGCAAGAAACGTTACACTCATTGCTCAGTACTGGTTGGTTCAAGAAACTGATTCAAAAGTGTGATTATAGCTTCCTACATTATCAAACTCAAACAAATTCTGTATAAACTAAGACAACAGATATTATAGTTAATATAATTATGTAGAACTTACTTTTCGCTGACTGGAAAGTGGAGGAGGAAGCTGCAGCTGAAATAAACAAAAAAATAATTGTTACATCCACTCATCATACATTATGTTATCTTAATACACAAGCAGGGCTTCCATTAATGGAAGTTTGGGAGTTATTTACTCCTTGATTTTGGCTTGTGACTTCCAAAATATAATGCTTTTCTTTCTTTACCTATATAATGTGACTTCCAATGTTAGATATTTTCCAAATTTTGGAACTTAATGGAAGCCCTGCACAAGCTACTTTGACCTTAAATCTAAATTATTAATTAAACAGACACCCACAAAATCTTTACCAGGCCTGTACATATGAAACATGACATTGAATCTACATGCCAAAAACACAAGAAGTATGCTTTCCGTTTCTTATGTACATGTCTATGTAAATCAAGTGACCTTTGGGGCGGGGCCAAACCTGCATTCTGCATATTACTAATAATATTCCTGACAATTGGTTTTTAGTTCCCTCAGAAGACTCGGTGAGGACAGAGGACATGAAATTTTGAAATTCATACATAACTACTACAACAAGCAATTATCATAGTATTGCAAGCAATCCATAAGTCCCCTACCGGTTAGAATCCCATCAACATTCTGAAGGGCCATTGAATTAAAGATGCAATTAATTTCATAAAAAAATTTCAGCTCTTTATGACTAATCACAAATAATGTTATATTTGCCATGTTTTAAGCCTATTTGTTGCCAAGGCAACCAATATTTTTTCAAAATAGGGAGAACAGATAAGACATGCATAATCTCAAGACTGCCATCTACCCATATGTCAAGTTTCATAAAAATATTTCCAGTACTTTTTGAGTTATCACTGGATTCAGTGTATGTGTAAAATTTGCCATTTTTTCAGTCTATGTGTTGCCATAGCAACCAGAATTTTCAACATAGGAAGAAAAGAAAAAGACGTGCATAATCTCCAGACTGCAATCTACCCATATTACAAGTTTCATAAAAATATTTCTATTACTTTTTGCGTTAACACAGGATCCAGTTTAAGCGTAAAATTTGCCATATTTTCAGTCTATTTGTTGCCATAGCAACCAGAATTTGCAACATAGGAAGAAAAGAAAAAGACGTGCATAATCTCCAGACTGCCATCTACCCATATTTCAAGTTTCATGAAAATATTTCCAGTACTTTTTGCGTTATCACTGGATCCAGTTCATGTGTAAAATTTGCCATATATATTTTAAGCCTATTTGTTGCCATAGCAACCAGAATTTTCAATATAGGAAGAAAAGAAAAAGACGTGCATAATCTACATACTGCCATCTATCCATATATCAAGTTTCATAAAAATATTTTCAGTACTTTTCAAGTTATCGCGGGATCCAGTTTTGTGGACGGACGGACTGACGGACAGACAGACTGACAGACAGACAGACGGACGGAGGGTAAACCTAAAGTCCCCTCAGGTAAACCGGTAGGGGACTAATAACCACCAAGTGTAACTGTGATTCAAGGAAACTTCTACTATTTTCATACTTAATGTATATAAATTTACAGATAAAAAGGTCATCATCATCTCAAGTAATTGCATCACTCCACAAGGAGTATACTCGCACTCGGATAAAAACTGTATATACATACGCAGCAGGCAGGACTGACTGTTTTCCAAAATAAAAATAAAAAGTTTCCCTATTTACAGTTTCTATTAAAAGAGTAAAAACAACTCTGTGATTAGTATTTTATATGTTGGCTGGCCAGAGCTGATCGGAAAGCATCCAGGCTGGTCTGGTCAACAACGTCTTGCGGCAGCTTGTTCCAAAGCACGATGGTTGTGGGAAAGAAACTATTTTGGAAGATGGAGGTGCGTGCTCTGATTTGGCGGAAGGGTTGGTTGTGCCCTCTGACAGTCTTAGCATTGATAAGTGGAGGATCTGGTATAATATCCACAAGGTTGTGCATTATCTTGAAGAACATAGTTGTTCTGGTGTTGTTGCGCTGGTGTTGGAGGGTGTCCCATTTGAGGTCAGTAAGCATGTCGGTGACGCTGCTTGTTCGCATGTAGTCTTGTTTCACGAATCTTGCAGCGCGACTTTGGACCATTTCTAGTTGGTTGATAAGACCCTCAGAGTGAGGGGACCAGACAGATGAGGCGTATTCAACAGTAGGTCTGATATATGTCTTGAAGGCATTAGACTTGGCGCTTGGAGGGCTAGATCGTATGTTTCGCCTGATGAATGACATGGTGGAGTTAGCCTTTTTGGTGATGTTATCGATATATTTTTTCCATGAGGTCTGAAGAGATGGTGACTCCAAGATATTTGGCATGATCATCTGCAGTGTTGAGTTCTTTTCCGTGGATGCTATAGGTGTTAGTAATAGGTTTTCTTTTTGTGGAGATGTGGATGACTTCACATTTGTCGGGATTAAAAGCCATCTGCCAATCATCCTCCCAGGATTGGAGACTATCAAGGTCATGTTGAAGTTGGCGTGAGTCCTCAGGGCTACGGATGATTCTATACAGGAGGCAATCATCGGCGAAGAGTCGAGCCGTGGATTGGACTTTCGATGGTAAATCATTGATGTAGGCCAAGAAAAGAAGAGGGCCAAGGACGCTGCCCTGAGGGACACCAGAGGTGACAGGTGAGGTAGCTGAAAAGGAGCCCTCAAGGACAACCTGTTGTGTGCGCGACGAGAGAAAGTCTTCAATCCAGGAGTGGGTTGTGCCTCTTATTCCATAATGGTCCAGTTTCTGAAGGAGACGTGAGTGTGGAACTTTATCAAATGCTTTTGAGAAGTCAAGCAGAACAGCGTCAATTTGAAGGTCTCTAAACTTATGGATGGTCCATAAATTTACAGACTGTCCATAAATATCCTGAAATCCTAGACCTGATAGACTCTTGAAACTACAATCAGATTTTGTCACTATTTTCTAGAAATGAGTTTTAAGTCCACTGTTAAACCCCTTACTGTACATTGTAAAATACAATTAATTTTTCTTTGGCATGTTTTACACATCATGATGTATTAATTTAATTTTTAACTATTACTTGCATGATGTAAAATCAATAAAGTTGAACGTATTCCATGCTGTGCACTAATTGACAGTTCTTTTTGAACGACCCTCAATCGTTACAAAATGGACTCGTCCTATGAATCGGAGGATTATGGTGCATTCCACAATTTCCACGTAGAAAGGCCATGTATATAACACACGAACAAGTAATAAAATTTCCTAATATCGTTCAAATTGAAAATCAGGTACGACCATTTACACCGTCTTAATCATTCAGGGCAGTTATGTTACAAATTTTACCTTCTCACTGCGAAACGCAAAAAAGTGGGGAAAATCTTGCTGACACAGAACGTAAGGATGAAAACAGTCCACGTTTCAAACGTTGTTCACATATAGATCGCCAAAATTTGCAAGTAACTACTATTGCACTTTGGCCTGTAATTTCTTAGGTTACATGTGCATGACACAATTTCTCGATGTAAACACTGAAAGTAGGTTGAACGGACTGTTAAATACCCCGAGCGAAACTGCACATGGCGGTTTAGCGCCATTTTCCTTTTCAACTCGTCAATTTCCACCTACCGTTCACGAGAATACATTAAAAATACAATCACAATATTAATGAAACATGTTTTACCTTTATTAACTGTAGCCATAGAAGTTGGGGATGCTTCATCCATTTGACCTAATTCAGCCAAAACGACCTAAATATCTACAAATTACAGCTGAACATCCGCTGATTTTTCCATAAATAACATAGCGATCCTGCAGTAGGTCAATCACATTCAATTATCATCTCATTAGCATAAGAAATTACTGCGCGGAGATAAATGAAAATTTTAAAACGAAATGAGATATATCCTGTAACTCAGTAGAATTGACATCCTTTTGAAAAATAAGAGATGGTTTGATAGATATTATGGGATGACATTCTTAGGAAATGATGTGATCTTTTCAATAGCTATGGACTTTGTTGTGTCGTAATTATAAAAAGTAATTCGGCTGACCTAGTTCACGTCCACCGATAGAGGGCGCGTTAATATAGTACATGAGGGTCGGTCAAAATGTTCATTGAAGGTGTTGTATGCGTATTGGGCGCACGTGGCGATTAATTGACCACTGAAAGCGATTGCGTGAATGTCGATACGGCACCAATTAAGTTAAAAAAAAACAACAACAAAAAACAAACAAACAGAAATTGAACATATTAGGGTAAATATTATTTCATGTGTATACATGTACTTTTCACATGATGTAATAAATATATTATCATATTTTATGTTTTGATAAACAATTAATTACAAATATATTAAACTCTAAATTTAAAGCAAGTAATGAAGCAATTAAATCTCCTGTCCCAGGTTTTATAAACACATCTTACAATAATGAAATATTATTATTTTAAGAGTACTTCCCGTAAAGCCTTGAAGAATTTGATAAGGATACATTGACACGTTCACAAAGTTGAAAATGGGATTGGCGTGTCTTTATTTAAATGTTTGAAAAATGTCCTCTTATCATCTTAATATTTTCATCTTGAGAAGAAGAAAAAACATCAAAATTGAATAAGATGCAAATCTGGACATCAATTAAATTCAATCCCTCAGTCAAAATGCCAAGTCCTGAAACATCTCAAAATATAGACAAGTCATTTAAATAACATCTGTTCCAAACTCAAAATTCCTTGGTCTAGGTCTGTCCGCAGATTTAAACTGCAATGCACACATTTTAAGACTCCATTCATTTTAGAAAAAGTTAACTCTTAGCTTATATATCTCTCTCTAGTCCCGAGCTTAAGAATACATCCGTTGTTTAAACAGTCAAGTATCCAAAAAAGAAAAGGAAAAAAAAAAGAAATGAAATAGTCCAAGGACGAACGATGAAACAAAATTATTCTCAATTGTCATCAGTAAAAAGCCATGCAGGAAGATTTTGGATGCTTTTTTCTATCAAGCATCGCAGATGTCACTTCAAAAATTTAAAATTTACAACAACCTAGTAAAACTCCATATGCACTTAGGAAAATACAAGTCACATAGGAAAATACAAGTCACATCAAACTACAATAAGTATCACACATTTGAACACATTGTCACCCTGCATAATCTAGACCAATTCAAACAGGTCGAGGTTAAGATAACTGTAAGGTGACATGTTGTGCTTTTACTTTTATTCCTTTCTTCACTCTTATACTAATAAAAACATTTTAAAAATGACCTGGAGTTTTCAAAATGTCTCATTGTCCTGATAATGATCATTTTCAGGTTTTTACTTTCTCTCACAATATTTATTTACTCTAACACTCGCGAGAAGGGTTGGCAGTTCACAGAAATATCTAGATATTTCATTAATATATATCACGGATTTATATTAAGATCCGTGATTACTAGAATGGCCACAAAAAAGTTATGAGTTACTAAGAGTATAGATAATATAAGATAAAGTACGGAGTGCAATTGTACGATGGAGAAAAGCTATATCAATCTCGGTTTTAGCAGTAATGAAATACTGAAATGCCTTGCATCTCAACAAAGGACTATAATAAGCATGAAAACTTTGAATAGAATTACAAAAAATGCGTCTTTCATGTTCATACCCCAGTGACATTGACCTTTGATGGAGTGACCTCTAAAATAATAGGGGTCGTCTACTCCATAAGCCCTGCCACCCTATAGAGTTTGAAGGTTCTAGGTCATTTGGTCATTTGGTTTTCCAGGAAATGAAGAGTGACGAACGGACGGACGTACAGGGCAAAATCAATCGTCCCAAACAGTGGGGTGCGGTGGGGGACATAATTATCATACATCTGAACTCTTGCCTATATTATATTAACTGGTTCAGATTAATCATTTGTTAAGTACTTACTGCCATTGTAACATAATATGGCCTATATATCTACCATATAATGAAAAATAAGTCGAAATTTTGAATTAATAAATCGAAATTTCGAGTTACTAAGTCAAAATTTCGAGTAAGTAAGTCGAAATTTCGAGTAACTAGGTCGAAATTTCGGGTTGGTAAGTCGACATTTCGAGTAAATTAGTGGAAATTTCGACTTACGGAAGTCGAAATTTCGAGTAAATTAGTGGAAATTTCGAGTTACGGAAGTCGAAATTTCAAGTAAGTAAGTCGAAATTTCGAGATAAGTAACTCGAAATTTCGAGATAAATAATGACAATAACAATAGATTGTATTCAGCATTAAACATTGTACAAATGTTTATAGCAAGAAATGATGAAAAAAAGTCAAATACACATCCCATATATACAAATGGTGAGCATTAGTGCAAAGGCAATAATAAGTCCTCTTTCTTCCTTAACATTAATAAATGAAATGCATTTTTTTCAGTAAGCATTTAAATATTTCTGGTATTCAAAAAAGTGATGAATACAGTAACAGATTGTATGATACTAATGAACTGTTTTTCTCTGTTAATTGGCTAAGTATGTATTTTGCCAAATTCAATGAAGTGCATATTGAGTAAGCATTGAAGTATTTTTGGTACGAGTAAAAAAATAAAACAATTGAATGCAATAATAAACTGTATATATGTAAGACCATTGAACAATGCCAAAGTTAATGAAATACTTCTTCAATAACCATTAAATATTTGGTACAATAGCAAACTTTATAAGATTTAGGAAGAATGTTTCTCTTTAAGTTAGTCAAGTATTTATTATGCCAAACTCAATAAAACACTTCCTCAAACTTGATGAAATACATCTTCCGTAAGCATTCTATTATTTTTGGTTCAATAGCAAACTGTATAGATTATAAAGGAATCTTTATGAAAACTTTAACAAAAATAAGAGTTTTACAAAGGGTGTTCACACATAATTATATTCTTATATATTTGCCAAAATATGAAAATGACGTCCGCTGATATAATACCGAAAAACTATATACGCAAACTTAAAATAACAAAGACAAAACAAACAACAACAACATCTAATTAATACATTAACAATCACACAAAAAATGTACTTTAAAAAAAATTACAAATTATCAAATATTTCTATAAATATAATTTCTTTTAAACAATAAAAAAATCGGCAATGAGTGATTATAGAACTGTTAAAAAGAAAACACCAAATAAATTTGTTTCTATACATTTATTATCTATATTATATTTATCAATATATAGATCTATTCATAAAATGCAATTCAACGTTGAAGCTTAAATGCATATTTGATGGCAACTGCCATAACTTGAACAAATGACGTCATCAAGATGAAGGGCATTTTCGAAATTTGAAAAGCAGAAATAAAAAGTGTTTATTTATATATATTTATATTGTCAGTGCATTGTAAAATTTTTTGTTTGTATTCTGATTAAAATGATTATAGAATACCGAGAATGAAATAAATTTGTCAATATATTTTATTAAAGCCTGTGAAATCATTGTGAAACCTACTAAAAACAGCATTTCATACTGTTAAATTTATACATTATTCATGTATATGTTAAAAATAAAATTTTCAAGAGACGCCCATGCATAAACAGTGTCTTTTCAAGGATTCGAAAAACAGGGGAGGGAGGGGGAATTTTTATCGAAAAGTGAGAATTTATTACATTTATTGGTCTTTTTCCTTCTTTCTCTATGTAAAATTTCCCCCCTGCCTTAAAAAAATAGGGGGGGGGGAATTCTCAAAAATATGAGTGAATCCCCCCTCCTAGGATAGACACTGCCAAAGGTTTTTACTGTCTTTAATTGTTTCATGAACTTTTTCATCAGATATACATGTACTAAAACAGCTTTATGAAATACACGTGACACAGAAATAAATTGATATCTTATCCAACAAATGCAATGTAGTAAATTTTATGGTGGATCATTTTATTTTTTACACTTTTAAAGTCACTTAAATTTATAATTCTAAAATAATAATACTTAGAAAATAACACTTAGAAAATATTTGCTTACAAGTGGATTATTTCTTATTTCACAATCAACTGATTTAGTATATATAAAGTAAAAAAAAAAAGAGTGTCATACACTATATACAAACATCATTATTTCACATGCATGAAAATCAGGTACGTATATTAACGTTAATTAATATACGTACCTGATGAAAATGTATGAAAATCGAGACTTCTAAAAAAACAAAAAACAAAGATATTCTTTAGCACATTATTATTATTTTTTATTTTTAACCTTTTTCTTTTGTTTTTCAAGTAAGTAAGTAAACATTTTTCATGACACCGTATAATATTCTGTTATAGGTCTGTCTTTCACGAAGACCGTAGACTGTCAATTAATAGGACACTAATTCCGGTATGTATTCCGTAAGATACGGAATATTTCAATTTCTACAAACTTCCGGTAAAAATGGAAGCGATATCGACAGAATTGTGGAGAAATGGACCTCAACCAGGGTGCTTCTACAATTTTCCAGGGGGAAAATTAAACAGTAAGGATGAGCCCATCAAAAGAACGTTGTAAGTATCTTTCTTCACTTGTTTGTTTCCAACCGTTATTGAAATCATGTACCGGCTTTAGTGACACTGCAAATTTCATGGTAATTTTTTGTGGGTGGGGTAGTAATTTTATTCAAGCACATGAGTAATCGAGTAATTTAACAGTAATTATTTGTTAAGCTGTTATAAAAGTATGTACAGTAAGAAAAGCACACCTTCTGCAAGTGGTCTATTTAGTTCAATTTTGATGTCAGATTATTTATTTTTGTGAATCAATAACACAATGAAAAGCGAGCTCTAAAAGACTGAATTGGTAACACATATCACTAATATGAAAAAGGCAAAGCCTCAAAGCGAGCTCAATTTTCTTTTACCCTAAAATAGTTTAAAATAATCGTTCATTTTTATTTTACATTATCCGTTTTAAAATTTTCATTCGGTATTTTATACACTGCTTCCGTTTATGCTGGTTTCCCCTTTCTATTATGGTTCCTATATAAATGCGCATGACACCAGTCTACGCTTCCGATTTCAATCAGAGTACATCGGTTTTTATCGTTATCTTGTAATTCGAAAAGATGCGATGTGTCCAATTCGGTACTTCGGACGATAGTTTTCAAAACCATCACTATGCAGGTACTCGCGTTACCGAAAGCTCGCTGTAGGAGCAGGCCCTTTGGGCCAGCTCGTTGAGCTCGCTATTATATGACCATAACAGGGATAAAAACTAACCATTTAAGCTTGGTGGCCACCTGGGCCACTGACTGTAAAATTTTGGTGGCCCAGTAAATATATTAGTGGACCAACAAATTATGAACAGAAAGGGACTACCACTGGCAAATTTTTTTAGCCAATTTTTTGGCAACGAAAATTGCGTGCCTGTATTTTATTTTCAAATAAGGCAGAATGGTACAAGGCAGAATGTAACGGCATGATGTATTTAGAAAAACATAAACTATATTGTCCACTTTTATTTTGGTACCTACATTTATCACATATATAACCACATCAAACTTATAAAATTTACAGTCAATAATTATAAAAGCTTGCAGCTCAGTAGCTATGACATTTGCCTGGTTAAGTCAGTGGCATGACAGTAACAGCAGAAACACATTCCAATGTGCTGCTTCAGCTTGCTTGGTTAATGACAAAGATTTGGCTTGAAGACTATCTGTATCTGAAATAATACAGAAGAAACAAGTTTGAAAGTAAGAAGAGTGAAGAAAATAATATTGAAAATTCTAAACTAAATTAAGATAATTAAGGAATAAAATCACATGTACTACTGTCATTATAAGAGTACAGGAATCAGTATAAGTTATCTGAAGGCATTTTCTGTTTGTATGTTACTTAACTGAATCTTTCTTTAATATTTCATAGTCATAAGCCATTTATTTTATAAATGAATACTTCTGCAAGAGCTTTAGGGGTTTGATTTTAAGTCAAATCAAGGTCACTCTTTTTTTCCAAGGAATTCTCTGTAAAGCCAAACGTCAAATAAATTTCTTGTAAAGGCATAATTAGGTTAGAATAAAATGGCAATCAACCCCCTCCCGCAAAGAAAAAAAAGTGAAAAAAAAAAACAAAAACATAAAATAACAACCATTACTCTTAAAATTTACTGAATGCAAACTTACTGTCAACAGGTCAAGTTGTCAACTGCAGAACATAATTTGTCCCTATTTAATACCCAATCTTCAGATTTGATTAGCGATAATCTTGAGTAATCTTGGGATGCCACAACTCATTGTTTCATATTAAATATTTAGAACCAAATTTCCAAAGCATATTCAACAAACTGCCAGGTATGTTCACGACAATTAGTGTCATATTTATCAGCTGATGTAAACAAACGGTGAGGGTCAGTGTATTAGACTGTGTTTCTTTTCATATCGATATTTAATACAGAAGGGGAAGTAAAAATATAAACCAGTCAATGACCCACAAGAAGTAGACTGTGTCGCTGTGTTTGAGATAAGAAGCGGTAAAGCGGAAATTAAAAATGGAAAACCAAATGTGTACTTTTCCATTCTTAAAATAGCAAATGCTAAATTTAGACTGGAGATTCCAAAAGTGGAAGTTTGAGCCAATCGTGATTTTCTTGAGCCAATTTAATAATTTTGGACAGGTCTCCAGATAATTTTTTAGGGCAATGAGTATTTACTCATTGATTTTTTTGTGAATGAGTAAAACTTGAAATCTGAAATTTGGCAGGAGTATTTTTACTCCTTAAAATAAATGTATGTAAAAGAGTAAAACATTTATTATGCTTCCATGTTTATTGCATTATCATTCTTGTAATACAAGATATGTCAAAGTCATTTCCTTTGCTTTTTGGACTCCCTTGGTTTACAATCTTGCATTTCCAAACGGCATATGTTTTATCTGAACCTGAGGCATGTTTCTGTTGCTCATACGTGGCAGCGCTAATTATTTCATTAATTATAACCTTCGCCGATTTTTTCGGCATAAAATACGAGTCAATCGTTTTAACTCTTGACAGCGACATTGTACCGGATGTTTATGAAATTGTGTTAATTCCACCACCTTACTATACATACGATAACATCCGATGATAGTCGGAACTACAGGAAGTTTCCGTTAGACGTTGCAAAGCATTCATACGAAGTTAATTCCACCACCATACTATACATACGATAACAACCGATGATGGTCGGAACTACAGGAAGTTACCGGTAGACGCTTGCAAAGCGTTCAGACGAAATTAAAAATAAGATAATCACAGAGTTTACTTTCGGTTACGTTTACGCGAAAGAAATGTTGCTCAATGCGTAACCTGAATTTTGTGTGCGTTTTCATACGCTTAAATTTTGTTTTGAATGCGTAAACGTGTTATTTCCATGCGTAATTTACGCGTATACGCATCTTATCTGGAGCCCTGTTTTGGAGCCAATTTGATCCTTTGATTTTTCACATGAGTTGATTTAATGGCGGATATTAATTTAATCTACGGCCGATTTTTTAGTCGCCGACTGGACGACTATTTTGAAATTTTTGGTGGCCCATTTGCAAATTAAGTCGCCGTGGGCGACTGGGCGACCGCTAATTTTCATCCCTGCCATATTTATATCCATCAGAGGGCACATTATTTTAATTTACTTGTGGACTGATTTACTGTAGACAATATACACTTAGAACTACATACTTTCGTCTGCATAGTTCACTCAACACTACTTTGTCCCACAGTCTGTACGGACCAGTGAATTTTTTCCAGAGTATCAATTCATACGGACAAGTAAAGAAATGCTTTATGTAAAATTCACAAGTAATATAAATTCAGGTTTTGCTGACCCTGGCACCCTCTGTTATAAAATTATTTATTTGTTTCAGGTACCCAACAGTTACAGGAACATCAGTTCTGGGTATAAAATTTAATGGTGGTGTTGTGATAGCTGCAGATAAATTAGGGTCATATGGATCTATGGCTAGATTTAGAGATCTTTCAAGAATTTTGAAGGTAAGTCATTACAAGAATCTCACATGATTAACTCTTAATCTGCTGAGGTTTTTTTGTCCAGCCTACATTTATCGGAAATTTCTATTATCAACTTTGGAGATTTTAAGATGAAAAATCAAAATTAGTTAATTAACAGTGTTAGTTTAGAGTCTTGTCAGTCTACACTATTGTGCTTTCTGGTCCGGCTCTATACTGTTGGCTAATAATTTCAGTTTCAGCAGTTTAAGGATAACTGTAAAGCTTCATAGATTAATTTTAAGTAAAAATTTATATTCTATTAACTATTATTTACAGAAATGAATCTAATAAACAAATTTAATATGAAAAAAAAGAAAGATAAAAAGTTAACAGCCTCCTTGGCCCTATGGTAATGGTTACTGACTAGAACCTCATCATGTTTTGGTTCAAATCCAATTTAGGACATTGAATTTAGTCTATAGTTTTACACAGATGTCTGTTCATTTCTGGAATAATGCACAAATGTACCCACTAGTGCATCTGAAAAGTTGCCATATGACATATACAATTTCTGTGTGATTATATTTCAGGTAAATGACTCATGTGTTGTAGGAGCTAGTGGAGACTATGCTGACTACCAATTCTTATCAGAAATTATTGAACAAAGAGTGTAAGTGAATCTTCCATGAATGTATTAAAATAGTGCCATATAAATAATGATCTGTCCCAGGTTTTGGGTGTGAATTATTTTCGAAAGTAACAAGAAAACTTAGTTACAGTTTGATAGGGTTAAAAGTGCATACATGTACACTTAACTATGTGGGAGTCCATGCTGATTATTAAGGTCGTTGATTTAAAACACTTGCCACTCTCAGCTGTGGGTTCGAATTTAGACAGGGACTTTGGATTTTTTCATGTACTGAAGCTATCCTGCTAGCTTATGAAACATAGGTGGTTCTACTTACCCCTTTGGCGTTTGTGCCTGAAATAATGCATGTAAGGTCACCGGAGGTCTTCCTCCACTTGTAAAGCTGAAATGTTGCCATACATATATGACCTATATTTAGTCAGTGTGACGTAAAATCCAATCAAACAAACACTGAACTAGAAAAGTTTGATGCAAATTTATATAAATTCAACAATTGGCAAGTTAAGAAAATTTGAATACATCCTTAGCCTGAAGGGGATGGCTAAGTCTACCCTTTGAGGGCCATTGCAGTCTAAGATCACCAGCACATCATTGCTGTTTGATCATGGTCTGCACTGTTTGCTATTCAGTCAGTACATATTTTGAAATATTCCCTAAAAATGATTAATAGTTTAGTCCAGTTTGAAAGCTCAGCTAGTCATTGAAGATATGTAGTGTGGTAAAAGTTAATATAACAATCTCTATGTTAACAGAATAGACGAGGAATGTTTGAACGATGGGTTTGGGTATACACCGTCCAGCTTATTCTCCTGGTTGACACGAGTCATGTACAACAGAAGATCTAACATCAATCCACTGTGGAACACTTACGTTGTGGCTGGCTGGCACGATGAAGAGCCGTAAGATTAATATTTATATATATAAGATGATAATATGAAACTTTAAAGCTGCATGCCTCCAGATCAAATCAAACCACAGTAAAATGTACTAAGATCTAAAAAAAATTAGTAGATGCAAAGATTCAAGTAATAATATTACATGTTATGCGCGATTAATGACTAATTTTGCAGTATTTATCATTATATTTCTACTGCGTGACCACTCAGTAAGTGCTATTTTTGCATATTTTCACCTCTTTTTAGGCATTAAATTTATATGGATTTAAGTGCTGTTTGCAATGTGTTGCAAACTGTCTTTGTTTACTTCATAATTTTTTGCTTTTAAATACATTTTCAAAATTTTCATCACAGATATACTATTTCTAAAATTAATCTTCATTCATCAGATAATTTATAGTTATACTATGATCATGTACATGTATATTACAGATTTCTCGGTTACGTAGATAAGATAGGTACAGCGTACCAGGCACCTTCAGTATCCACGGGTTATGGAGCATATATCGCTCAGGTATTTTATGTTCTGTAATGTTGAATAATATTTATATTTGGAAATCTATCTGTGCGCAAGCTCTTTTGATTTTGGGAGAGGTGACAGCCTGCCTTTTTTGCCTCATCATGGCAGTAACGAAAATAGATCTGGTTGAACAGAAAAGTGCAACATGCATAAAACCTTTGTCATTTACCATGGAAATTCTGTTAAGTAGTTGTAAAGGAATAACTTTTGTCCTCCAAAAACATAGGATTACATAGTAACTTTATTTGCAGTGAAAATTTATGTACAGTACCATGTTAAATCCTCACCACTGTGGATTTGAATCACATCAGGGACTTTGCATTTTTTCATGAGGGGAATCTATCCAGCTAGCTTATGGAATATCTGTGGTACTGTTCTGGTTTCTGCCTGTATCTGAAATAATCCTCCGATGTTACCAGAAGACTCTTTCAAACAGCTGGAAAGTCACCATAATAATTATCTTTACAATTACAGTGTCTGAGTAACTTGAAATCTGGCAAAACAGAATTCAATAGAATATTGCACTATGACAGTGGTATATGGTAGTTCATGTTGCATGTGTAAAGATGTTAAGCATTCCATAGTTTTTAATAGTATCCTAAAATTCTGTTAGCGGAAGTTTGGGAGTCATTTACTCCTTGATTTTGGCTTGTGATTTCCAAAATATATAATGCTTTTCCTTCTTTACCTATATTATGTGACTTCCAATGTGACTGTCAAGGATTTTGCAGTCTAAACTTCCGAATTTTGGAACTTAATGGAAGCCCTGAATTCTCTACAAGAATGACCATTTGTAAAAATGTATTGTTAGTTTTACTATGTGTATACTATAATGTGTACATGTGGAGGAGACTCTAATAAACTAGTTTATGATATGTTTCTATTTTTTCACTTCCAGCCATTACTCCGTGATGCATTAGAGAAGAGACCGAACATGGATGCTAAACAAGCTGTAGAAACTATTGATAAATGTATGAGAGTGTTGTACTACAGAGATGCTAGGTCATTAAATAAGGTAATATGATATATATCATATCTGCCATGATATTCGGTCCTGCATATCAGATTTTTTTCATGAGTATCTAACTCACTATATTCATGTGCAGTGAATACCTTGAAAAATAGGTTCACTGAATTTACCTTTATTAAATACCGGAATTCCAAGTTTCTCGAACTTTATTTTCTGCTTTAGAGCAGTAGGTGTGAAATACCCAATACATACTTGTAAGCAATACATCATTACCTGTGAAAACAGTAAATCTCTGACAAAAAAAGTGGTCTCTTTTTGTCAGTAGAATAACGCAAAACTAGAAACATGTACAACAAAATTGCTAAAATTAGATTCATTAAAATAAGATTACTGCCAGAATTGGGAAATTTGCTGTACACAAAAATAACCTGATAAACAGTATTTTAGGAATATTTACAATATACCAACACCCTTGGTTTTATGTTAAGGAATTTGTTGTTGTAATTGCAGTATGAGATTGCTATAGTAACAAAAGATGGTGTAGAAATCAGGACCCCAGTTGCCTCACAACCTAACTGGGAAATAGCTCATTTAATCAAGTAAGTTTTATGTCGAGTTATAATGATAATAAATAATGTAGATAAATTAAGATATCCTCTACAGTACCAGTATGGTGAAAAAATATATATATTATAATGGTTTAAAGACTGGCATAAATATTAAATATCTATCTCTATAAAACTGAATTATAATGAAAAAAAGAAACACACAATTTCAAAACTTCCCTTCAGTAATGTTATAGCAGAAAATTTTTGCATTCATACGAAAATATCTGAACAACTCCCTGGCAGAAGTATCATTCTATATGTAACTATATTGCCTTGCTGTACTTTCATAAAGACAGGGATGAAGTAATTATGCCTAGTATTTTGTGTTAAAGATGTACTAATGCTCATCATTGAGTAAAACAGAAATGTTTTGAAATCTTCTGAAATTCTTTCTGAATGTGTCTAATTTGAATAACAGATAAATAAACTATGTAGGGGAAGCTGCGTTCCCTATTACAGGTCAAATAAAGTTGGTTTATACAGAATTTATTTTAGTTCGATCGTGTAGGAAGCTATAAGCTTATAAACACACTTTCGAATCCGTTCCTGGAACCAACCAGTACTGAGCAATGAGTGTAAAGTTTCTTGCTCAAGGAAACAACGACTGGGCCCTGACGGGGTCTGAAACTAAAGTTTATCTTTTCTTAAAAATACTTCCTGTTCTGTTCTGTTTACTTTTTTTACATAAGTAATATTGGCATGAAGCTAAATTCCTGTCATTTAAATATTTTCTATTTTATTTTTCAGGGGATATGAATAAACTTTCAACAGCAATCTCACATTCACTATTTATCATTAATTTGTTGGACCATTTACTTTTGTGACGGACTACTTTCTTGGTCGGACTACTTTCTTTGTACGGACTACTTTCTTGGCGGCTGTTTCCTGCTCCGGAACTATTTTTTCGGATTTTATTACATATTAGTGCTATAAAGGAAAAAAGAATATATGTAATTTATCTATGAAAGAGCTGTGTTCTTTTACAGTAAAGCTATGGCGTATATTTTGAAGTTCTGGTAAATAAAAACAAAAACAAATAAAAAGACATATTGAAATAACTGTGTTAAAGTAAGATTAAATTGGGTACGAAAACAATTTCATGCACAGACACTGTATTTACTTTTACTTTCTTCGAACAAGTATTTGTTGTTAATTAATATGATACTGATTTGTAAGACAAATACAGAATTAAGATATGTCTGTTGTACACTTCTATATTAACTGATATTACATTGAGTAAACATTGCTCCATGAATTGTGATGTTCAATTTCACCCATTCATTCATTTTGTATGTGATGTAAAAATAAAGTGCTAAATTAAACTCATCAGTGTGTGTTCTTAAACTCTTATGATATATCATATGACAAACATGTATTGCTTTGAATTAAGACCATGCCAAATTTGTATTTTTTGAATTTCTAATTGCCCGTTACATTGTATTAATTGTAATTGAGGTTGTATAACACACTTAAATGAAATTATATACATGTTCGTATATGTATATAATTATGCTTATAAAACAATTTTCAAACATCGAAGAATATGTAAAATATGTAGAACAAATATTTGTACATATTACAATATATGCATTCATTTCTTATTGAAAATTTTACTTAGACTTTATAGAAAACAAATTTTTAATTACCTCCCTTTATTTACATGAAATGTTAAATTCGGTAATATCTTTATAAATAATGCTTTTTGGAACTTACAAAATTGATCAATCATAATTTGAGCATCGTAATTATGATATAAAACCATAAAAAAATTGTGTTACAGGATCTTTAAGTTGTCAAGAGGGTTAAGTCAGACAACCAGACTGTATGGGTGTATTGGTAGTCTGGCTCTATACTGTTCGAAGACCAGGCATTATTGTCTCCCCCATATGGTGAAATTTTGGTGTGTATATAAACCAAATTTACAAACAATAGTATGATAGTGTTTTGGAGCGTATCTTTGGTTCAGTGATAACGTGCTGGACTAGTAATGAAGGGCTTGCAGGTTTGCCATCTCCCCAAACTCACAATACTTAGGGTCTTTTTTAAATCAAGGTCACATGCATCAGGGTCACCTCTCGAACGGGTGTGTTTTCATAAAGAAAAAAAAACAACAACTTAAACCCCTAATGCAGCACATGATACAGGTCCTCTCACAGTAAATAACGAGAAATAAAAGTTAGTGTGATAAAAACGTCCGTGGTCGAGTGGTCAAGTTCGTTGGTTGTGAAACACTTTTTCCTTGCCGCTGATGGTAAGAATCCTACCAAGGACTTATGGTTCTTTCATATGAGGACGTTACCCAGTTATAGCTTACAGAACGTTGGTGGTTCTACTCGTGTGCCTGTCCGTGCCTGAAATGATGCACGAAGGGACACCTAATGTCTTCCTCCGACAGTAACTGGAAATTTTACCATATCATGATATGACCTTTAAAAAAAGTCGTTGCCTCCCCGTCCATCACCCCTTAAAAAGGTCATATCGAATAATAACTATGCCGTAGATGAAGAAAAAGGTGAGGTCTAAATCTAGAACACCTGTATTTTGCTAGAAATGTCACAGTCGCTTTTTGAATTTTGGTAATGTTTAGTGTTTATATTTTAAGTTACTTTGTTTTAACTACTGTGTGTTCTAACTCCTGTCGGACTGGTCCCAGCCTCAGTGGGTTAGATTAATACCCAAGACACACTCCGGACCTGGTACCAGCCTCAGTGGGTTAGATTAACACCGAAGACACACTCCGGACCTGGTACCAGCCTCAGTGGGTTAGATTAACACCGAAGACACACTCCGGACCTGGTACCAGCCTCAGTGGGTTAGACTAATACCCAAGACATACTCCGGACCTGGTACCAGCCTCAGTGCCAACTGCCAAGACACACTCCGGACCTCTTGGCTATATGCATTTTATGTACGTCTCTATATACGAGGCCCAAAAAATGGACAATCACAATTTTGGTTTATTATAAGAATTTCAACTAACTGGTTTTCACATTTGAATAGGATTAAACATTTAAATGGAAGTCAAACAGTTTCAAGATAGATAGATAGATAATTTATTGACGTATACATTCAGTACATAGTCATATTACACACATTTATATAGTACAATCAAACACAATATCATGGTACATGAACAAAGTTGTAGCACAAATTTTCAATTTACATATTTTTGGAGAATGAACGTTAACACCATTTAGTACTAAAGTGAGCTTATCTATTATAAAGCGTTTACATTCTTAAAGATATAAAAAAAAAATGGATTTTAAACTTAATCATATGCTGTGATAAGATTCCATTTAACAATGTTTCATACTAGACACATTATCAAATAATTTCAAGAAATAAACAATATCACTTTTAAATACAACGAGACAAATTTATACATTGATTTACAGAGCATTTAGTAGTTCAATTCAATGTTTTGTAGCATAATACAAATATTTACCTAAACCTATTAATTCAGACTTCTTTTCGGTTCTTAATAATTCAATCAATTTGAACATACTTGGTCTTCTGTAGTAGTATTGCTTAATGTAAAGAGAACGTATATTAGAGTAACTATTACAAACACATATAAAATGGAATTCATCTTCTATTTCATTACTATCGCAAAGCTGACATATGCGTTCCTCTCGGGGTAATCTATTAGCACCATATCCACCTGTTTCAATCCGAAGTACATTGGATTTCTGTACAGTCATATGCAATTAAGTGACTACCTAAAGAATTTTATTTAACTTACAAATGTTCACAGATTTAAAGAAATATGATCAATTGTTTTTAATTTACAATTTCATTTAATTAAAGCTTTACTCCGTAAAAATACACCAGTATTGTAATAAACAAAACAATTAAAGATATCTTTGGAATGCACAAACTTATATATCAAAGTGCTGATAGCCCTGAATACGCCGCATGACTTTTTGGTAGCGTATAACTATATTTCTTAAAGTGTCAATTATTATATGACTTCAATATGTACATATTACCGAGTACTTTTGAACCTTTTATTTATTTACAACTCAACCCTTTTTTGTTGTGTACTAAATTCCGGTTATAAACGTTAAAAAAATGATTGAACATGTGAAAAATAACGTTCCTGAAATGACCGATTTGTTACGATATTGGCCGATTTTATATTTTTGGCGGGAAAGCATTGCAGTAAGACAACCTTAATATCTCTTCTGTTTGCTATGTCTTTCATTTAAAATTTCATAAATATTAATCATAGGCATGATTTCTCGTGTACTTTAGTCATATATTCGCGTCACAGAGCTCTTGTGCCCAAGGGCGCGTTCTTCGCAAAAATAATGTTTTGAAATAGAAATATAAACGCGTCAAAAATACGTAATTAGTTGACTTTGCAAAATATTACATTTCATTAAATGTATGTTGAATGTATTATATCAGAACACAGACTATAAAACACATTTATACGTTTTCTTTATTTTAAAGTTATAAATATTTGTGAGATGGGCTTTTCGGGATAAAACCATGATGATTCAAAATATATGTAGATTAAGTGGTTATATTTAATACCACATGCAGTTAAACCAGTATTTATTGGCAATATTATATAAAAGAATTCTCCAATCCATAAAAGAAAAGGAACACGTTTGACCTTTAACCTTTTGTGAAACTGCAATCTAAAAAGTTTATAAAAATAATGTTTCTAGAAATAAAATTAAAAATGCGACAATGACTAGAAGGAAAATGTCTTTAATGTACCATTACAAAATTATGCTTGCAATCAATTAGAGTCAACTATAGTATAAGCACACTGACATACGTCACACCCGAGGTCGTTTCTATAGTAACCAGTAGGACAGTGAAGGTCACAATGGAACGCTGGGCAGTCTGAAATGAATAATATACATGTATAATGCATTACGTATCGAGGCCAGTTTTTAAAAAGGAAATTTATAACTGATTCCGCTCCTCTGATTGCGTGAACATTAAGACCTCCCGAATCCCGATCCATTACCGTCTTACTGACATATGATAAATGAATGTTTACATTTACAATGTAATTTATATGCTGCATTTGAATTTATCGTCCAAAAATGACCAAAATAAAACACACATGAAATGTTTCGTATGACAACGGAATATGGTATACAACACGTATTGGGCGAATTCTGAGTACAGCAAAGCAATATATACTGTTAAAACGAGTGTTTTTGAAGTATATGCAAATATTTTCCGACGAACTCTGTGACAGTTATCACAAGAACTCTTGACAAGTTATCATAAGAAATCCATCCCTCGTGTAACAGTTTCTCCCCCGTGGTATGGGACAAATTCTAGGAATCAAAACAAATACATTATGTAGTGGGTGGAGTCTGTGTGCGGCAAAGGAATATCGAACACATGGTTATATAACAAGCATACAATCATGACCAAAGATGAAAGAATGGTTGATATATAATATACTAACGTGGAGGTTGCACATAATCCGCCCTTAGTTTACATTCTCTGCCACACCCATTTGAGGAGCAATCGTATCCATTAAGTCCGCATTTCTTGTTGACTGGATCCCCGCACAGCATGATACAAGATCCTCTAGCGTCTGCAATAAGTGTTCAAGCAATAACTTGTAAATATTCGGACAACTTCGTCATATTCCGCATCCTAAAGTTTTAGTAAGCGGCGCGTTGATGCTTCTTATAGCTCTTGATCATTTATAGATACTTACTATATATTTTCACTGAATGTAACGAGTAATGCCGATTTACCACGAACATGGTTGTGGCGAACTAATTAATTATTCCTGACTCATGTGGTGTATAAAATAAGAAAATTAAAATAGAAAAAACGAAGATTTGATGATTATTATCTTGACTATTCTTAAAACTAAACAATTTTGTGGCGTTTAGAATTTGATTGTTTATTATGTTAACCATTGATGTGTTTTTTTTACCGACTCCATTGAATGAAAAAGTAAAAAGGGTACTAACTTATAGCATGTGAATCAACACTTGTAGGAAAACACATCGCGCCACACCCCGTATTTCTACATTCGTGATCAGATGGACATTCCGCCAACCCAAGATCTTGGTATTGACCGGAACTTGGGACACACTGCACGACGCATGCGCCACGTTTACCAGGAAGTGCGCTGGTTACTGAAAAAAATGGCGGATACTTAATATTTAAACTGATAAGAAAAGACAAAATTGTTTGACATCGTGTCTTTTTATGGCATGCCCTCATGAATCATAAAAGGACAACAGTCTATAGAATATCATTATGCTTAACATTAATGATTGCAGCTGCCAGTCGTTGTTTCTGGTAATGTTGGTTGCTGAGGACTTTATCATTCGTTGAGTCGAATAACTTACATAATGGGTGAGGAAAATATTGTTCCTTTGATTAAGTATGTATCAGAATAAGTGAGGACAATATTGTTCCTTCAGTCAAATAAGTAACATAATAAATGAGGACAATATTGTTCCTTGAGTCAAATAAGTAACATAATAAATGAGGACGATACTGTTCCTTGAGTCAAATTAAAGACAAAATGAGTAAGGACAATATCGTTCCTTTCATCAAATAAGTTACAAAATATTGTTTCTTGGGTCAAATAAGATAACAAAATGAGTGCGAACAGCTAGTATACAAGCTTTTCTAAGGTCAAAGTTTGAGGACTATATTGTTTCATTGGTCAAATAAGTGACAAATTGTTTGAGGACAATATTGTTTCATTGGCCAAATAAGTTACAAATCGTTTGAGGACAATATTGTTTCATTGGCCAAATAAGTTACAAATCGTTTGAGGACAATATTGTTTCATTGGTCAAATAAGTGACAAATTGTTTGAGGACAATATTGTTTCATTGGTCAAATAAGTTACAAATCGTTTGAGGACAATATTGTTTCATTGGTCAAATAAGTGACAAATCGTTTGAGGACAATATTGTTTCAATGGTCAAATAAGTGACAAATTGTTTGAGGACAATATTGTTTCATTGGTCAAATAAGTAACAAATCGTTTGAGGACAATATTGTTTCATTGGTCAAATAAGTTACAAATTGTTTGAGGACAATATTGGTTCCAAGTCTTCAGATCAGACCAAACTTTAAGCCCAGTGCAACTTGTCATTCTTGTCTAAGATTTGTTTAAATCATTTAATGGACACATGAGACTGCTAAATAACGGAAGAGTGCTCCACCGTTATATGTCATTAATTATGTAGAGTTGTGTGCCACTTTCCTGGAAAATAATCATTCGAAATGCAAACGGTTATGGAATATACTTTTTTAAAAGGTTAACAAGTATCGCTTATATGTTACCTTGAATTAAAGCCGGAAGGATAAATAACATCCACATTTTTACGCTATATAAATGAATATTGTTTGTCAAGTTTTACAATGTAGAGCTATCTTTATAGATCTTCAACTGACCTTAAACATAATAAGATAAGAAGAATGTCACATTTTATACTTAAAGGTCATATTATTGAAAAAAAAAAATTTGGCTGTTACTGGCTATAACTTCAATTGTTATTAATAAATGAATTTACTTTATATCAAGATACAACATTCTTTAGGATAAGAACCTCATGTACATCAAACTCAAATTGACCTTGGCTAATTTTGATTTTGAAGGTTCAATTATTGAATTTCCCTGTATATTCTGTCTATAATTGACTGTAACTTGGTAATTATTGAATGAATTATATTCATACTGGGACAAAACAACCTTTTGATACTTCATACTTGGACCACCCCTTATAAAGTAAAAATGAAAAAAACGTTTTTTCTTTAATTTTCTTGACTTGTTTAGACCGATTAGAAAAAGTTGAGAAAGTCGAGTGTTACCCCTCCCGGGCGGTGATTCATGTTAATATGAGGTTTTTTTGTTGGGTTTATGTAAATTAAAAGAACTTACGCATGCACTTGAGGACGCGGCATCTTGTAGCAATTATATAAGTCCGTTACTGCTAACTCACCAGGTCAGCTTTAAAAAAAATGGCAGAAAATACAGTACAACCGCTATAGAACAGCCAAAATCCTTTCTAGGATAAAGAATTCGGTTGTTGCTGTAAGGTGTTTGCTCTATGGAGGTTATCTATTGTAAAGTCTTACTTTGGGAAGAGCTTAACATATTCCTCTATGCTATAGAGGGCCAGTCTGCATAGATTGCACTAGAGTGATTTTAACATGGAGAAATTACAAATGTATTCGCTGCTACTGTTTGGCAAATTTGAAATTATGAACTTTAAAACGTTTTTCTTTTTTTCGTCTAACGTAAAACCTTCAGTTTTGAATTTGCAAATGTCAATTCCAGATTTTTTATTATTTAAAGGCACATTATTCCTTAGAAATCCATATTTATTAACTTCTCTAGAAATGCCAAACATAATATTAATAATGTTTTAATAATGGATTTAGAGCATGTAAGATGTTCAACAGCTAAAGAAATTAGCTATGGATGCAAGTAATGTGTCGTAAAGGCAGTACGATGTAAACAAAGTATAATATTTTGACTTCCATACAAAATACTAATTCACTATAGTTATACCAATTGCCAACTATTGCCAAAAGAAGCAAAGATACATGTAGTTCATCTATATGACAAATGAGTATTTTTTTGGAAACTGTAACAAGATACCGAACATTTAAGGTTTTGTGAAATAAAAAAAAAATTTCTGAGGCATAATGGGCCTTTAAGGATACAAAAGCTTAACGTACATATCAGCAAACTGTACAGTTACATGGTCAGGTTGCTGGCTATTTCTCTGGGTGTGACATTGTTCCATGTATGCCATTATGAAAGGCTTTCTATTGCTTAATAAAAATACAGAACTGTGAATCCGGGTCACCCTGTCCTGCATGTGACTTTCAATACAAAAAAGGTTAAATCAAGATACAAAGCCCCGATGTGGGTTCAAATCCCGCTTTATTTTGACTTTATATGCTTTCATGTTACTATAACTGTCAAGCCGCAATACAGATGGTCGTGCATGGCAACGCATTAAATGTTTCATGTGTATTTAACTCGCCACCGGTTGCCCATTGCCTATGGGCGAGTCCTCCAGAAGAGTATTAGTCATTTTATATTTTAGTTGATAGTGCAATCATAGATACAGAAAAAACACCCCAATTCCAGAAGCTTCTCTTGGTTCTTTAGCGTGGCAAGTGTTTAAGCACCCATACACGGGACCTCGATTTATTTTTAAAGTCTCATCCGAAAGACTGATTAGTAATTTTAGTTAGTCAGCCCTGGAATCAAACCCGCAATGTCGAGATTACAAGTCTCGCTCTAACCGATTGCTATGCGCGCTGGAAATATTTCATGGAGTGAATATAATACTATAATATAAAGAGTCTTTGTGGTAGCATGGCCGAGTGGTTATCGCGTCGGACTAGTATTCAAACCCTGTCAAGGGTAAGCCGTTGTTTCATTTAGCAAGAAACTGTACATTTATTACTTATAGCACTGGTTGTTTCAAGGCACAGATTCGAACGTGTTTCAATAAGCTTATAAGGTAATATAACATTCAATAGTCAACATAGACTTTTTGTGGGTAACAAAATAGACAATACAAATAGCTAATTGTTATATGAAGACTTTTTATTTTATTTTTTGTTTTATTATTTCATATAAGTATATATACAGTAGCTCTATATATATCAATAACAATGGTTTAATAAATGCATTCTAATGTAGTAACATTTCATAGATTCTTTAAAGTACATAATTACACACAAATATGAGATCAAAAAGCGAAATAGTTCACAACACTTCCGTTATAAACACTCCTGTATGCCCAGCTAAACTATTGTTTTCACGTACTCGCTGGAATACCATATAACACTTGCGAATTTAGTCATCTACAAAAGTTTCAATACTGACGTATCAATCACTTCAAGAATGATTAGAAAGTCATACGTGAACATGTTTTAATACATTATTATTGGCTGTATAGACTTAAATATTGCTATACTAATTTAAAAAATACTAATTTGTACCGATTCTCATTTGTACCAATACTAATTGGTACCAATACTAATTTGTACCAATACTCATTTGTAACAATTTACATTGTGTTAATTAAATCTTAATTCTATTGCCGCATTCGTAACTTCTATTATAAAATATGCCCACTTTATTCATAATTATGTGAAAATGAGATCTGTTCTTGGTTTTATTTTGTAATGTATTTGTTTTCAGATAATTTGGTTATATTATTCATATCTTCTTTCATTAATATTCTTTTCCAGCTTATCCTAGTGTCATTTTTGTTGTATTCTGAGAGTATAAATTTCGTAAAGAAATGTTTTTTTCCAGTGACCGGTATACACAGAACGAAATAATGTTCCATCTTGAGTATGGCACGAGTTTTAGATGAGAATAGTTACATAATAATTGCAATAAAAAAGATACAATTCTTTTAATGATTGTCAATAAATAAGCTTTAATGTCATGGAATAATCTTCGCACAATATTTTTTTGAAGTTTTTGTGCTAAGTGCATGAACCCAAGATTATGCAGCAATTTCATCGGGTCATTAATATAAATAATGATATCAAATGGCAAGAATTCAAAATTTCAAACACACAACAACACATTATTTTGTAATTTTAAACATTGTCACAATTACAGTATGCAATGAAAGAACATTTTGTTTGAAATAAAACACAAGTCAATGTAATAAACATAAAACTGACTTATCAAGTAGGTTCTTTTTTCTTCAGCAGTCCTTTATATAAACTATCAAATGTATTTTTTATTTCATGATGTTTTGATATGATGGCAAAACAAATGACCTTTCTTGCGAAAATAAAACTTAAACAAGAATTAATTTTGAAAAAAAAATCGTTCATGTATTCAGATCAACTAAGACAAAAATAAATCGGTGGGAAGGTCAAAAAAAGAAAAAAAAAGAGTTTAATATTCAAGAACTGAAAGAAAAAGATTAAAATCGCTGAGTCATTTTAATGAGGAATGTGTTTGTTCGGAATACCTCACTTTCTTTCCATGTGCATTGATTTGGAACAGGGCCATCTGTTTTACTATTTGTATGTTACAAAGATTATGAGATTCATGTTATATATATATAACATCAAAAACAATCATATTACAAGTCACTGTTAACTCTCTCTCCAAGGTTACACAATTCTTGTCGTATACTTGACGGCAAATCTTCACCGACTTGCTCATCAAAATATTTCCCAAGTTCTTTCACTTCCGCTTCCCAGAATTCCTTAGAAAGATCAAATAAAGCGTCTTCGTCCACTTCCTGTTCTAGCCCGGACATGTTGATGGATCCTGGCTTTGGAATTAGGCCAACGGCTGACGTCATAGCACAGTCTTCCCCGTCTATACGACGAAACATCCAGTCCAATACTCGCGAATTTTCGCCGAATCCTGGCCACAGAAATCCATCTGGACCTTTTCGGAACCAGTTGACATGGAAGATCTTTGGTAGGTGAACTTCCGGTTTGTTCTGGAAACTGAGCCAATGATCCAGATAATGACCAAAATTGTATCCAAAAAATGGTCGCATAGCAAACGGATCGTGCATGATGGCTTTACCTGAAATTATGTAAAATGTATGAAATTTAATATGGCTACTTAAACGTGTAAATGCATTAATAAATTTTATTTTTTACTAAAAAGTATTATTATTACACTGGCAATTAGTCATGTAAAAGTTTAATCATTTCCAATTTATTTCTGTCAGAAAAGCTGTCTAAAAAACGACGGTTAACCTACGAGATAATTGTACATTGTATATACATTGTATTGTTCTGTATGGGAAGATCTAAACGAATGAGCGTACAAAGAAAGTGTATGTCAGTGTAAACAAAACAAGACTTCTTCAAAAGTATAAGCAGCATTTGGTACATGCATTTTTGTTTTACCTTTGTACTCAGCGGCAGCTGTGGTCTCAGATTTTAAAGAAGCGCCGACAAATACGCCATGTTGCCAATCGAACGCCTCATATACCAAAGGGACACCTTCCGGTCGCCTTCCACCAAATATAATACCCTCGATGGGTACTCCTTCTGGATTCTCCCAGTTCTCATCAATGATTGGACACTGATCTGCCGGGGTACAGAATCTAGAGTTTGGATGTGCAGCCGTTTTGCCGGTATCTTTGGTCCAATTTTCCGTACCCGTCCAGGACGTGATCGAGGCATTATCCGGTACTTCCGATTCCATTCCTTCCCAGAATACACCGCCATCATTTGTAGACGCTACGTTGGTAAATATACTGTTCTTTAGTACAGATCGCATCGCATTAGGATTGGTTTTCATTGACGTTCCTGTAATTTGACAATGATATTTTTGTAAAAATTCACCAGCATAAAAGTACATTTTAAATACCTGAAAACACTGTATGTTAGGTTTTGAAATAAGGTCTCTGCACCGGATAAAAGAAACGGCCACTTTCATACCTACCATAGGAACATCTATATTTTTAACATTGAATCCGTAAAAGGAATTATCATATAATATAAAAATCGTAGACAAGCAAAGGTTTTAGATCTCTACAGAAAACTTTATATTGTACCAATGGGGCATTGTAAGAAAATTGCACGAATCTGTGACCTAATTCCGCTCAATTTACTTTAATCTTTATCCATACAATTGTAATACAGCTTCACATACCTGGAGCGACACCGAAGAAACCAGCCTCCGGATTTATAGCACGCAACTGACCATGTTCATCAAATCTCATCCACGCGATATCGTCCCCTACACACGTGACCTTGTATCCCGGCAACGTTGGTTCCATCATCGCCAGGTTTGTTTTTCCGCAAGCGCTAGGAAAAGCTGCCGCAAAGTATTTCTTCTGACCTTTCGGATTTTCAACCCCCATTATCTGTGCAATGAATATATAAAATGTTACTAACTTATGGCGATTTATTAAAGGGTATGATCCAAAATATCGAACACATAGAATGCAATTATTTTAAGTGCCTACAGATACAGTTATCAACTTATCCAATCTGATTAAAAATACTTTGGTACATTGAAACACAAGCAGATCTGAACTTTAATTCAAATTGTTGCAAGATCTTAAAACTTTCATTATCTAAAAAATCCCCTCTTAATATTTAAGATTGGCTCAATTCAAATGGGAAAAATTCATTAACACTAATGTCTTTATTACTAAATCTTGTGAAATAGACTTACCAACATATGTTCGGCAAACCATCCTTCCCTTCTAGCTAAAATAGAACCCAGTCGAAGTGCAAAGCACTTCTTGCCTAGCAACGAGTTTCCACCATAACCGCTTCCATACGAACAGATCTCGTTTCGTTCCGGAAGATGAGCGACGATTGTGTCCCTTGGATTACATGGCCATGATGTCATAGCATTTCCGGCTGAAATTAGAAGCAGTTTAGAGGTCATAAATCCTAAAAGGCAATATTTTTTACAGCAGAATCTTCATTTATTACCAAAGCGTCCAACACTGAAGACAATGTCTACACGTTCATGTGTAGCTAATTTTCCATCTAATTTGTTCTGACAACACCATAGATTTCTACTGGAATAACTTTTGGAAAATTCCGATATTCCAATAAAGTCAACATGGGAAGAAACGCAAGAATAAATGTACAAATGTATTCAGTTTCAAAAGAATTGCAGCTGATAGAGATAGTTTGCAGACGTTTGATTTGCAAACAGTTACCTTTCACAGAAAACATTATAATTAGAATACATCTGAAAACATCAAGTAAGATTTTTTTTCTTCTGTTTCTGTTTTTTTTTCTTCTTCTTTTTTTTTTTCGTTTTTTTTTTTTTTCATTTTTTTCGTTTTTTTATTTCTTTTATTTCTTTTGTTTTTAATTTCTTACCACTGATCCCTGGCGTTATAGGTTTGCCCACAGAATGAAGGCATTTTATGAACTCGCCGTCTTTCAGTGCATCTAGCACGCGGGAACCAATCCGGGTCATTACACGCATACTGACAACAACATAGGCTGAATCTGTGAGCTGGACACCAATTTTGGAAAGTTTGGAACCAACTGGGCCCATGCTAAATGGTATTACGTACATTGTGCGACCTGAAACACATTTTATATATTTTATATTTTTTGTAATAAAACTGAAGACACTTAAAAAAAAATATGTAATTATTTATTACCATTTGATACGCACAAATTACTGTAGTGTTTACTAAACCAATAAACTTTTTTGCAAGTCAAGAGCTAAAATCTTAAACTACTATTTTGATTTTAGCACCAACAACAACAAAATAATAATAAATATTTTTTTAGAATGAAATAGAATCTTGCTTTAAACATTTATGGAAAATAGTATGACGTCCACAATTACTACCATATTTACAAACAGAAAATATTTTTAGGATTTTATCGTTTACTAAGTGATTTCAAAATTCCTGTTTTATATTCTGAAAGTCAGTTTTGAAAATGCTTGTATATACCTTTCATACAGCCAGGAAATCTGGTGTCAAGAGCGGACTGCAAGTCTGTGGGAGACATCCAGTTGCCAAGGGTGCACTTGATCCCTGGTTTGGATCTCGGTACGGTGTCATGTTCCTCTTGTGTCGATATAAATGTTCGACTCTCAACTCGGGCAACGTCTGCTGGGTCCGTAGAAGTCAACCAACTGGAAGAAAAATGTACATTACTGACTTCTGTTTTTCTTTATTCATAATTTCGAAGTTTCTGGGAGGGACGGAGCGGGTGCAGGGGAAAACAAAGAAGTTTGATCCGTTTTTAAGCAAGTTGCATAAAGTATCTATGACAATAAGGGTTCTTAAAAAGATAAACTTATCAAACTTTTCACTACATTATGACATAAACAAACATACACAATTAGCTGTTTAAGTTATTTCATATATTTCATGAACACTTAGAAAAATTGTCTGTGAAATATCATTTTAACAAGTTAAATTTCTGTAATAATCACATACGGGCACTTGAATACCCATAAAGCATTTTAATGCATTAAAAATATAAAACAGTCTTTTGAAAGTATTGCCTCCTTTTTATTGCTCGTTATTTTACTTAATGGCAAGTAATTTGTAAACATTTTGCTCTTATATGAAGAAAATAACTCTTGTCTACATCATTGCCTAATGTTCATGTAATATATTAAAAAAAAAAAAAAAAAAAAAAAGATAAATAAAGAAAAAATGAGAAAAAAATGCTATGACCTATTTTTATAATTAAGTATTCCTTACCAGTTTTCATATTTTGGCAGTGGCTTGATGGTCCCATCTCGTTGCAGTATATAGTAAAGAAGGTCTTTCTCCCGGTCCGTGCCGTCACATATATGAATCGTATCCGGCTGACAGACTTTAGCATTTTCCTCAACAAAATACCGCACACGGGCTGGAAGTTTGTTCAGGTTTCCGTACAGTACGGTGTATGCTTTCTGATGCTCAATAACGCTGGCATACTTGTCCGACTTTGCGGACTCGTTAAGGAAATGCGAAGCAAACCTGGAATGGAAAAAAATATACAAAGTCTTGCCTACATCCAGTGGTTAAACCGTAATATTTCAAACAGAATACCTGTAATTTCTTTAAGTAAATTCGAGGTCATCTAAAAATATAATTATATATTAGAATCTATCAAATATAGTTTACGCAGACTGATAGACCTTCTATTTCTTTTCTTTTTACAACGACAATCCATCTGTTCTTGCCTTAAAAGTACTTTCAGTGTTTAAAAGTACAAACTAAGTGACAATTATTTAACCACTATTCATCATGGTTATTATTCCAACAGAAAATGTTGCATTTCGAATGGAAAATTTTTACTTAAAAAAGAAAGAAAAAAAAAAGAAACGGTATTAACTATCTTTAATTTGTTTCAGATTTATAGTTTTAAAGCGACATTCAGCTTTTATTTTTTTGTTGGAAAATCAATTCTGTTTAAATAAGTATTTCAGTAAAATTTAATTTATCTTGGAAAAGTGCATATTTATAACGCGACAGTGACGTTCATTTCTAAAAATAGAATATCGAGAAACGAATCGTCCGCTTTACTTATTTACATAAAGAGTGCACCAGTAGATAAGAGGTATTGATCAAGGGATTGCTTAAGTATTAAACGATGGCAAGTTTCATTTTCAACCTTCATTCTTTTGATTAATTATATGAAACGATTTATCTAAAAATAACATATTTAACCTTTAGAAAAGGCCGCTTTAAGAACTTTACGTTATGCGGTGCGTCAACTACATAGTGACTGATACCGGACGTATTCTGTACTTCAGTGCTTTGATATATCGAATGTACTAACCGAACGTTAAGGCGACCACATGTCAATTTTGTCTTGTCTGATTTATTTTGATAATTTACTTACAAGGAGAGTACTTTATTACTTTATAGTGGTATATATTGTTAGATCAAGATATCACGAGATGTTAGTTGCGGTTTTTATACTGAATTTGTAATTGTCATGTGACAACTATAGGCGTTATGTTGCCAGTTACAAATTAGGTTATTGCTGCAACTATACTAATTTATCTGTCACCAAATTAAAGCAAATAAGTTTTTTACGTTGCCAATTAGGGGTGTGCAACCTTAAACGCAAACTTGTCATTTTTAAAGTTCCTTAAATCGCCAATTAGGGGTGTACTACTTTAAACTTAAACTTGTTATTTATAAAGTCTCTTATATCGCCAATTAGGGGTGTTTACCTTAAACGTAAACTTGTCATTTTTTATTTCTATATTTTGCCAATTAGGGGTGCAATACCTTAAAGAGTTTGAGCTTCGTTCACATTCCGTATATACTACATTTTAATACTGGTTTACGGTATACTGTTACCGAGGATTGGTGCGGACACCTATTTAAAGCCAATAAGTAAAACAAATGCGTGTAAACATTTCATTTCTCATAAAAAACTATTTATTTCCAAATATCCAAAAGCAAGAGTTCAGTCAAAGCTTATAACGACAGTTAAAGAGACACGTTATAGAGACACGTTTTTTTAATCATTTCACAGTCAGCGCTCTTATCAAAATATTACAAAACACATTATTTCCATTTTCAATATTGAAAGTCGTAGCTGAATGTGCTTTTACAGTCAAAACTGCAAGAAAATATTCTAAAAAAAAAAAAAAAAAACAATTTAACTATGAAAATCACCAGTTTAGTCCGGTAATTTTATGCAGAGGTTAAAGACCTATTTAAAACACCTCTCTCTCCCCCCCCCCACTCCCCCCGCCTACATCATACACATACATATTGATTCATTACTGCCTTTTGAGTTCTATGAACAAAGAAATGACGAATACCCGATATTTAATTATTTATAGATCGTATTTTGTAAAAAGTCCTGTTTTCCGGTTTTTACCGGCGTACGGTAGAGATTGCTAAACTTTTCCGTTAACCCTTACGTGACGTTATTTTTCCTACAAAATCGATGCGAGGTCACCATATGGCGGTCAATGAACCTGGCCTAGTTTTATCCCAGCTATAGGATCTTCAATATACTCCCCCTGTTTATTTGTTGCCTATCAATATAGAATTTGCGCATAAAATAAGATATATAGAATGCTTAATAATCGTGAATGTCTTAAAGAACTCCACCTAAAACCATGAAAATGTAATTTTCTTACATAAATCAAACAGAAAAATATGACAAATGAAAATAAACATAATATCAGTTTAAACATATTTTAGTTCGATTGTGTTGACATCTTGAACCGCTATCAGACCCGCTTTCTTAAACTCACTATATAGTGCTTAATGGTCATATCTCAATACCCGCATACGGTATAGCTAGGCTGATCACAAAAGATCACAAGAGAAATTTACTGGAACTTTTGCTAGTCTCAGAGTCAAAGTCCCCACCTATTTTCCGGGATTACAAATGATTTGTGCATTACAATGAGTACATTACTATAATTATATAAGATTATTCGTTAATGAACTAACGTTAAATTTATTTCTTTGGGTTTTTATTTGAAGGCATATTAATTAAGTATTAGAAATGGAGAAACAAAATTTTAAAGTGGAAAGGGCAAAGCTGTGTTTCGTGTGGGTCATGTAAGGTGCTTAACACATGAAGAAAATTGCAAAAAATGTAAAATAATTTGTAATAAATGTAACAAAATTTAAATTAAAGTGGTATTTTCTTTAAATTTCCATATAAAATTTACTAAGTTACTATTGCCCAAGCGCAAAAAAGTAAGAGATGGTTAAGCAATTTGGCCAATGAACACCTATACCTTTATCAAGACATCAAAAATAAAAACCTTTGAGAAATAAAAATATTAGCATTTTGAGACTAATTGGGCCTTTAACATGACTCACTGTTGGCAACGTGTAAACATCGTATTGTATGTTATTTTCAGATCTCATATAATATTCAAAGTTTATTCTTAACTTGTTGTGCATATCGTCTGCTAGACAATACAGGTTTAAACCAGACGGGACAATTTTGCTTTGTACTTTTCTTAATCCAACAATTATATATCCGTGGCCTTTTTTCGGAGTGACGCAATGGTGATTTTTTAAGTACAATGTCAAGGCCGTTATTTTGACGCAAGTTGCAACGGATTCTCACGATTTGATTGGACAGCGCTATACTGCAGTATTGGAGGTGTGAGAGAAACTGCGCATTTCATTGGCTGATTGGGACAGCGCCTCCAATGACCTTGCTATCGGAATAACAGCTGATCGCTGGGATAAAACTGGTACAACAATGAATAAACAAATTGTTTTTGGTGAATAATATAAAGAAAAAGACACGTAGAAATGGGATCTTTGTTTCGAAAATGGTATTAAATATACAACTTTTTTTCGAAATCGACAAACAACTATTTATTTATCCATATTTTATTCATGTTTCCATTCCACTTATTTAATCGTCCGTATCTAGTCATTATTTAATACAGACTTAAACAGCAACGCAAACACTGGTGTTTTACACTGATAACATTTCGCCTGCCATAAATAGTTCTTTTCTAAAATTTAATACAACTACTTTAATATATAAATAACAATATGTTTAACATTGAATTCAGTTGTATGTGATAAATGATGTAATAATGACACACCTACTTTAAAATCCTACCATCCTTACAAAGAAAAAAAAACGTTAGAAAATAATAATCATCGACTAAATAAAATTAGTGGAATATGAATATACTTCGTAAATGAAAAAAGAATGAAAATAATAAAAAAGAGAGAAAAACACAAAATCACCTGATCTGATCTGATCTGATATTAAAACGTATAAATATTGAAGTGTTGCATCATGTAAAATTCTTACCTTGACATCCAAATAGATAAATGAAGAATGTTTCTTTCAAGAGCGAAAAATAATTAAATTATTTAATCTAAAACGAATTTAAAAATAAAAATAAAAGCTACTCACATTTCCGACGATTTAACTCTTGTGGTATTATCGATTCCCATTTTCGAGATTTTGTTCTTTTTTGATGTTTCGCACTCATTTAGACTTTCCAATGCACTAATGTATTCGTCACAGAGAAGGCCACTCTATATATTATACCCGTGACGCATGCGCATACGTATTGATTTTGAAAAAAGGCTGAGCAAACAAGATATTGTTTTCTGTCCAGAAATTAGGACAGTATATTTAAGTGTTTGCTAGTATATACATTAAATGTATTTCTAAATAGTATGCAATTCTATTCAAGATAAAAAAGGCAGTTTCAAAACTGTTAGACGTATTTTATCTGGAAGTGTCACTGAATCAATATACCAGGAACTTAAAGTAAAAATATTAGATTTCTGTACATTTCCGTCATTCATATAAAATCGATTCATCGCATGATTCAGTCCTAACTTACACGTATGGAAATTTTCAGTTCGTAGGAGAAAAGGATGTTTCGTAAATTGATTTCCTTGATTTTTGTATGACTACTTTTCCTCTATATATACAGACGTCAGGGGGTAATGATTATATATTTATAAAATATGGCCTATTACTTATCTAGTTAAATTCTTCATCGTCTTAGCCGGATATTTTCATAAATGATATACACACATGCATAAAACCTTCTCGGAAGCGTGTGTATGGATGGGCCAATTTTTATTATATTAAATTAAGCGTTTATCAACACAGGTCTAACATAAGCAGACAATTTTGTTGTTATAAAGATCTGTATTATTAAGAAATGGAAAAAATGGCCAGGGTTTCTCTTGTAAATATGTAAATGAGATTTGAAATTTGATCAAAAGAAAAACTGGTTGTTAAAGACATGTTATTTTTACACGGTCGCAAACCAGAGGTGGTCTTAATCAAAGTTTGCACGATATAGCCGCGTAATTTTGCATTATAATGGTGCGTTACAGACTGATAATCTTTTTCTATAATAAAGATCTGCAAATTTTGCGGAGCTCCAGTTAATGTTCTCTTTTTTATCCAATACTATTTCAATTAGTGCGTCCTAGAACCTAGTAAATTAACGTAATATTTCTGATAATTTTAATGAAAACGAACAAATTTCACCAGAATTAAATTAATTATTCATATTCTTGTGACAAACTTTAGGATCTTTATGCAGTACAAAAAAGTAGCCCATTGACTAAAGGTTTTCCGTTAGCATACTTTTCACGTCCTTGAAATTGTTATGTTTTTTGTTGTTGTTGTTTTTCTAAAATATATTTTTATGCTATTTTTCAAAGTCGATATCTTATAACAAAAATCGGTCATTAGCTTTACATGGTAAGTATGTTATTATCTAACCGACTTAAGAATAAATCGGCGACGAAAACTATACCTATTTAACTTCTTGTTTACGTGAATATTTTCGGACATTTTTTGTCACGTGCAAGTGCAGTAAAAACATGTATTGTTTACAAACAGTATATCATCAGAGAATAGCAATTAAGAACGTAAATATAAGGTAGTAATTGCACTTTATAATATATACATTGTAGTTTAAATGATTTATTGTCCCATCGGAGGCGTTAAGCGAGCTACGCGCGTCAAAATATGAAAAAGGTCACTATCAAGAACGCCTGCTGTCACACCACAACAACAAAGCGATGATGAAATATTTCATTGTCATTCAGGCAACTATGCACACTTCATTACCTATCAACAACATTGCATCACTTTTCTACCCCGAAGGTACGTAAATATCGGAAATAATCGAAACATACCTGAAGGATATACGCACACGTGGAGGTGTGTCACATTGAAAACTTTCTATTGGATAAAACTGACAGCGCCCACTGATGTAACTGCAGGCGCGTATCCGTCGGTACATTTTATTGCGTTTGTATAGTTGGTATAAGCAGTTTCCTAAGTAATATATGGTAATCACTGTTCAACACATGTTAAGGTTATCCAGTTCATCACGTCTTTCAAATAAAGTTCTATATATCATTTACGAAAATAATCCTCGATGTATTAAACTTGAATATTTTGGGCGTTTCATTTAAATGCAGTCACCGTGAAATGATAATATAAATGTATGTAATGTTGAAAAGGATAGTAAGTAAACATACATTTGTTACGGATTATAAATAATATTTGGTAACTTGACAAGTACTAGTATTTGCCACTACGTAATAATGTAAATGTTACAAGTAGATTTGAATAAAATACAGTCTAGTCCACATGTTACACGCAATACATCAGTCCAAACATCATAAAACTATCGCATGATCACATGACAACATTTATAGTTGAAATGCTGTCACTATTATCTGCATATGTACCAAGTTTCAAAAAAAAAAAATAATAAAAAAAAAAAAATACATGAGGACCAACTTCATATGGTTCACTAAAATATGCATCAGTTTAAAAAGATATGTTGGTTTCCGGTATAACATATGATGATTAAACCCTTATGAGGACACCATTTTCATTTTCAGTTTTTTTTTTAATATGCACTATTATTGTAAAAAGGTCGGCATGCTATCAGACTTTTACATAGGTTTTTTATAGTAACCCATTCATATATTGTCATTTAATGCAGTCTATGCATAGATCCCTACATAACCAAATCTTTTCAATTTGAATTATGAGATAAGTGGATAAATTTCACCATAACATATTTGTTAACGAAAGACCACATGTGACCAACGTTTGTGGTTAAATCTTTTGTTATTCAAATAAAAGGTTAGGATAATTTTTGGATTAATTGTGATAAATGATTGTTGTCAGGGGTTTAGGTGTGCTGAACATGAGCGTGATGATAAAGAAAATGGCTGAAAATAATCTCAAAAGTCTAGACAATCGCATAATGTTGACCCGTCATGATATAAAACATACACTCAAACCCATTTTTTGGAAATCAGCAATGTAAGAAGATAATTTTGGCCAAAATTTACATTGTGATCCATATGTGGATATGTGCTCCATATCCAAACATAAATATACGCTTAAATACAGAGCATCACTTCTTCGCTTAAATGCAAAGCTGCAATATAAAAAAGAACAAAAATGAAAGTTTAACATGTTCAAAGGTTGACATTTATACGCATAAATTGATTTTAATTTATACTATTTTGAATAGATGGTTTTTCATATACCATCAATGTCAGTATTACCTTAATTTTTTTTTTTTGAAACAAGTTGACATTGAATGTATTATGTATGTACACACACAATATAATTTAGTTGGTACATAATTTAAAATCTTGCAAAGAGTACACAGTGAAATCATATGTAATGTCCCTTTCAATCTTACTCTACACATATTATATTATATTTGAACTATACATTGTATGCATATAATTTTATGTTGAATAAAAATATTTATTTACTTATGTTATTCAAGTTTTAATCAAGAATTTTGTGTACTTTAAGGAAACAATGGTCGGTTCTGTTTGAAGAGATTAAAAGGAATACCATGTGTGAAAAGACAATCTTATTGTTAAACAGGAACCTGTCATATTATATCCTTACCTCCTTTTTACCATTGTTATAGTCACCTCATGTACATGTATGTGAAAACATATCAGGATATCTGCCTCGTCAAATGTGAAAACAACATCCGTATTAAACGTTTGGTTATGCCAGAAATGTTTGATATAAATAATATTTGTATATCATTTTCTGTCCAAGTCACTTGCAAAAAAGAAATGAATTTATCATTTTGTAAGCTAAAGACTTAGAACTATAGATAGAAATGAATTTATCATTTTGTAAGCTAAAGACTTCTATAGATAAATACTAGCGTATGCCATAGGCGAACTTAAAATACCATGCCTGACATGTTTTCTGTCCTTTCCGTTCTTTACGTGTATTTTCTAAATAAAGATGATCATTTAATAATGATAAAATGGAAACATATGGGACATAATGACAAGGAGGTCTCTAAATATTATCCGCTAGTTCAATGGCAGATATTTCCAGTTTATCATGAAAATATTTGATCGTCAAAGCACAACAAAATGCACCATTTATACCAACATCCCAGTTTTTTTCGGGGAGGGGGTGCCCGTACTCTCCTTTCCGGATGTGAGCCCCCTCCCTTATGTACCTTGTAGCCGCGTGCGGCGTCAACTTCACCTGTGTACTCGTCCAAATGTAGTCCAGGGTTGCTCAGTTCTACATCAAATTAACAATATATACACTGATGACATAATAACATAGAGGATAGATATATATTTCATGGTTGCTGGTATAAGTTTTATTTTTTATAAGACCTTGCCAGTTTTTGATGGCTAATAGTCCGTCTACTTCATTGACTTTAATGCTGGATATGGAACACATATCCACATATGGATCACAATATGCATTTTGTCCATAATGATTATTCCCATCATACGTTGCTAGCATATATCTAAAGAATTGATCGAACAAAGGTTTGTGTGGTATGTGTGTCATTATTACAGCTCAAGATTGCTTTATTATGAAGTGTTTTGAGCTTATTTTTAATCTTTTATACCTGAACCCACGACAACCAAAATTTCTAATAAAATTTAAAAAAAAAAAAATAGAATTTCGATCTTCACACAATAATGTTCATATTTTAAAAATAAAAAAATAACAACAACTCAGTTGTTCAAATTACCGTTTCATATAGTCCTCATTAGGGAGTTTAACCAGCATACGTTTTATCGAAAACCAGCATATCTTTTAAATCGATGCATTTGTCGGTGAACCACATTAAGATGCCCCTCGTGTTTTATATTTATAACAAATCTTTTGAAGCAGCTTCCCATTACATTATTGGTTTACTTGAAATACATACTGTATATTAAAAAAATGCTGTGTGTCAAACAGAAAAGAATATTTTTTGTAAAATTAAATACAATTCCAATACTTGTAGAGGGAAGGGAGACAATTCAAAACAAATATTATCATAATTTATAACCTACTTATTCCCCTTTTGCTACGAAGCAGCTCGAGTGGTAACTGAATCCGTATCAGTTCAAAAAGTACTTATTTAAAGTGAAAGGAAAACAGACATACATGTGTGCCAGCTTTCAGACAGACGCACATCCTACCATTAGTTTGAATATATATATATAAAAAGAAAAAAAAAACATATTTTTTAGTTATTACCGAAATATATATTGTAAGCGCAACTATATTTTACTATCTG